GATTCTGTCAAAAGAAGGATTGAAATTATTGGTATAATCCAGTTTTATTAGTGCCTCTCTCCCTCTGATTTTCTTTTTCAGTATGATTCAATAGTTCTGAATGACAAATTTTAATATTAATAAGACAAGGGGCTGGTTGATGTTTATCTGTTTTATTCTCATACTCAGGGGTCACTTTAAAGCAGTATAATTTTAGCATAAATCAAAGCTGTGATCCAGGGTTTCTTTGGAATCTGTGATCACTCTGACATTGTTTGTAAAATGTGTGTGCACATGTACATTTTGGAGAGTAAAAGCTTTTGATAGGTTGTTAAAAGGAACGGTCACTCAAAAAAGTTCAAGAACTTTTGCTGTAGATTTTAGAGACCTATACAGAGACAGTCCCACTTGTGAATTATAGTGTAATTATAAGTTTAATTACTGTCATCCCTGATACATCATAGGGGTCTGTTCTGTAGTTTTAATTAAGCCAGATGGCAAAGATATCTTTGCATCTTGCCTTCTTTTCAAATTCCCACCTGGATTTTTAAGATAAATTGACTATGTTTTTATTATTTGACAGAAATGTAAACATTAATGTTCCACTTTCTTATAGACTTTTTTTAAAGTTATTTCTTCTTAAAATTTGACTTCTTTTAAAGTTACTCAGTTGTTTTTCTTTAAGAAACTGTCTTTTTTTAAAGTGAAGTTTAGTGTATTAATAGAGAAACAAGATCAGTTTAGTGTAGTAACTGAGAAACGAGAAACCAGAATCATTGGCTTTGATTATTGTCACAAGGCAGTGCAGTGTAGTGGGTGAGAGCGTGGACTGGAGCCAGCTGCCTGGCTGCAATTCTGGCTCAGCCACTGCCTAACTTTGTGAGTTTGGATGAGTCGCTTAACCTCTCTATGCCTCAGTTTCCTTATCTGTAAAAGGGGGATAAAAATAATACTAACCTCATATAATTATTAGGAGAATTAAATGAATGTAATAGATTTAGAGCACTTAATACAGCTCCTTACACTTAATAAGTACTGTGTAAATGTTAATTGTTATTTTTGTTATGAAGTGAACAGAGTATTTATTGAGAAAATTCTTTATACCTAGAGTTAGATATAAAACCTACCATTTGATGTTTGGGTGTTGTTGAATGCACACTTCATGAGTACTTCCTTTGTCTTTGATAACTGTTTCCGCAGAGGCTGGCTATGTGGCCACACCCATAGCCATGGTCCAGGCAGCCTTGACTCTCCTAAGTGATGCCTCTGACCTTCCTAAGGCGTAAGTCTGGTTTTCTTCTAATTTGAAGATCTCTTTTGCATCTATGTTATATTTTAGCTTGTTTTGATTCAATTTTCAGGTCTGCACGTAAGCATTTACAGTCCCTTTGATCCAAAGATAGAGGTAAATTAGGATTGTGAGAAGGACAATTCCTTATTGGCCTCTGGGAACAATGCAGAGGTAAATGAGAGGAGACAGAAAAGTTTGAGAGCCATGTAAGTTGGCTTTGGTTCCTTGTGAAAATAGCTCAAGTCCAGGGCCCATTACTCAAAAAAGGTCCCCGCTGTTAAGTAGTATTCACAGGACTCCCATCGTTGCAGACCATACAGCTGGCAATGGGACCCTGACACCAGCGTGAACTGATTTATGGTCTCCTGGCTAGGTGTTTGTCGAGTGGACTGTCTTACTGGAGCCTTTAGCTGTTGCCCTAAAAGTAGGCCAGCTTTACAAATGAGCATAGGCCTGTAGGCTTAGAAATAAAAGAATTTAGGTATGACCGAAACAATATTAAGTAATAAACATAAAAATTGTACAGAGCAAAACCTAATTAAATTTTTTCAAATACTTGTATACCCTTTGAAAATATTTAGCATTTTATAAATGTTAGCCATTACATTTAAAGAAACTTCTTTTTTAACCAGTTTAAGTCTTGTTTGTGGTTTATTGATAATTGAGTACTCAGATTTATTTCACTTAGGTCCTTATTTCCTCCTCCTGGGTCTGAGGACTGTCTGTATGAACAGCAGCAGGTACTCGGGTTGGTGACCCTCAGTGTGTCCCTCGAACACACCAGTATATGGAAACAGTCCCATTAGTCGCTGAACCCATCTAGAGGGGTTTGCTGGGGCGCTGGTTTCCTCCTGAGTAAAGCTACTTGCTTATTTAGCTGGTTTTAGGAATGGAACCCAAACTGGTCCATGATGGAATCAGGACTCAGGTCTCCATGAGCTCTGCAGTGACTTGATAGCTAGTCTTCCAGCAGATCACACGAGCAGAGGAAAGGGCGGGCGATGGGCTTTGTGCACTTTTCATCTTGTTATTGTCTTACAGGGGCGGGGTCTTCACACCTGGAGCAGCTTTCTCCAGAACAAAGTTGATTGACAGACTCAACCAACGTGGCATTGAATTTAGTGTCATTAGCAGCTCTGAAGTCTAAACATTTACAGAATTAACCAAAGTCATAAAATGCATGAATTAACAGCTTTTTTATTTGATATTTGAAATTCTTCTATAAGCCTGTCTGACTGTATGTGGAAAAGATTGTCAAATTTAAAATGTGTACACATTAAAAGCAGGAAATTGTACTAGCTTACCCTAAATTTCAAATCTTAGCTGATTCTGTGATTTTATTGCTTGTGAGAGAGAACTGATATTTGACTGACTTTTTCATTGAAGAATGCATGGTCGGTGTTTATAAGTAAGCTGGCAGATTAGAGGGCGGGGAGGGTATGTCTGTATGTGTTGCTCACAGATTCCTTGATGAGGTGCCCAGGCTTGTTCTGTAAGGCAGTCCCTGCTGCTTCCTTCCATGCTACTGAGTGGGATCTCACTTTCTGGTGAGTTTCCCTGTCAATTCTGTGGGCCTTTGCCAGATGAAACTGTATTCTTTTGCTATTTTAGCCTAGTTTTTGCCTATCTATGCTGACTGCTTTTGGACTAAGTTGAGTAATAAAGGGTTGTCAGTTGAGTGGTGGTTTTGTGTTTGGGTCCCCCTGGGTATTTGAGTCGTGGTAGCAATGTGCTTCCTGAGCCGTCTGACCTGTGTACCGTGAATGATTGGGCTTGTCATTCGTCCCCCTGCTTCTGTACCTGTGATTAGTTGTAAGGATACAGCTGGTTATTTTCTATTGATTTTCACTGCCTAAGCAGAATTTTTGTCTAATTTACTTTTCATATTTTAACTAGGTTTTCTGTCGATGCCCTAAAATAAGGCAAAGGACTTCTCCTTTTGTAATAAGCATATAATAAACACATACACAGTGTTCTGTGCTGTTCATTACATAAAGAGGACAGCCACTACCTTTATGAAACTTCTACTCTGCGATGAGAGGCGTGACATAGATAGGAATATTATTTGTGTGGGGAGACCCTCTGTGCTGCCTACAGAAGAAAGAAGGTCTCCAGCTTGAAGAGGGAGACTCTTGGTGGTAGTTCGTCCTCACTTTGCTCCCTCTGTCCAGGGCTGGTGTGGATCTGGTCTCAACTCTGCCCTAATTTGTGGGACCTTAGAAAAGTTTTTATCATCTCTAAAATGAGATGATACAGGGGCAGCAGATCTCATGACTAGCTGCGTATCAGAATCTCATAACAATAGGTTCCCCAGTGGACCCCAGTGGTTTGCATTTAGGAGATCTGGAGATTGGGGCCTCGGAATCTGGCTTAGATCTGCATTTGGGAGCCACTGGGGAGGCTAAATGTTGGATAAGCAGTCTTCCCAGCTTTGCAGTGAATGCTGTGTTCTGCTCCAGCGTTGACACTGATGTATGACAGCCTGTGTGACCCCGTCCTCCAGCTTGAGATACAAGTGTGTCTCGTTCTAATTTTCTTTTTAACCCTTCAAGTCTCCACCTGTTCTCATTTACAGAAAGTATATTACTTGTTTGAGGCAAGGAATACACTATCTGCAAATTGTCCAAGAACTTTGAGGCTCAGTCCAGGAGGGAGAAGCCGTTCCTGCTTCCCGTGGCCTCGCTGCTATTCTGCCTCACTGACAGGCTTTCTGGGATTCCGTGAGGCTTTGCTGACCCCTGTCCCTGCCAGCACCACAGGGAGCTTCATGCTTGGGCTCCACAGTTCCAGGTTCTTTTCAGTTCATGTGTGGATGCTCAGTCAGGACCTGAGCTGCAGGCACAATCCAGGCCTCTCCCATAAGCTGTTGGGCCCTGATATTTAGCTGAAACGACCAGCCCAGATCCCCCACCTTCCCAGGGAGAGTCCTTCCTGGAGCCCTTGATAGCTTTTCCTGACAGGAGAGTTTCAGCATCATCCCGTTTGATTTCCCTGCCTTCCTATTTCAGGGAGCCGGGATTGGGTTGTCACCTCTATTTCTTCCATCCTGGTTTCTTATGCCAGTCAGTGCAGCCGCTCCCTGGGATAGTCCTGCATGTTAAGGCAGCAGACCACGGTGGGTAGGAATGCAGTCTCTCGAGTGAGCCCACGGCCTACTCGCAGTGGCCTGGACAAACCTCACTTATTTAACCTTTAAAGCCTCAAAACAGGGGAAATAATAGTGTCGAACACATAGCATTATGGTGAGAATTAAATAAGCTAACAGATGTTGAGCATTTGGATTAGTGCCTGGCACATGGTAAGCACGCATTAAGTCTCACTGCTGTTGTCATTATTAGGAGTCTCCTTGGTCACAAAAGGTTTCTTCACAGTCTTTCCCCAGAGCGCTCAGTGCCTGTCAGTCTTACCTAAGACCCATCAGTCAATTCTTTGTGGACTCGAGATCCCTTAGAGATGGACTGACCCCTGGCAGGTCTCACCAACACTCAAACTCTGCAGCCCCAGGCCCCTGTGCCCAATGGATCCCACAGTACAGGCACTAACACTGCTAAGTGGATTGTATGTATTTAAAATAAACCTGTGAAGACAGAAAATAAGTGGAGGTAGAATATCAAATTTGTTCAGAGCCAGCATACAAAGTGAGGGGCGTGAAATAACCATTGTCTCTAGCTCTCACAGCAAGAAATTTATCAAAAGAGCTTTATTTGAAGTTTCAAACTGTTTATTGTGAAAATATTAATGGCAAATGCTTATTGATTGACTCTGGGTGCCAGGCACTGTTCTAAGCACTTTATATTCCTTTGTATACATTAACCATCTGCAGTAAGTACTCTTATTTCCATATAACAGATAGGGAAGGAGAGGCTTAGAGAGGGCACATCTTTTGCCCCAAATCACACAATTGAGAAGTGATGGATTTAACTCCAGGCAGTCCGATCCCAGAACTGAGAGCCCTAACCATTCACCTCCAGTAACCACCTCACCTTCACCCTGGATACAGATTCATTTTTACATGATTTTAGATCAGATTGAAGGAGAGGAGTTTTGCTTAAAAATGGTAGAAGAATTAGGTTGAGTAAGTAGTGAAAGAGTTGGATATGTTGAGTCCACTATTCAGCTCTGATCGCCAAGTTAAATAAGCTCATTAGCTGCACAAATAATCTTCACAGCTCAAATGTTTTCAGTTGGTGTATCTTCTTTATTCGACACGCAGTAAACATTCCCTCTTCTTTTTCACTATAAGAGTAACATCATTTTTCAGTTTCCACAAGCTGGATTCAAGTAGGTCCCCAAAGTCCTTTAGCATTTGTGACTGTTGGTGTACAAATGGTCGAAGCATTTGATCGTCTTCCTAAAAAATAAAAGAAAGAAAAAGAATGATAGTAATAGACTGATGTCATTAGAGTGAAAATAGCGTGTGTGCACGAGGGGGTGCCCACGAAGTTCTCCCTTTGGACTAGAAGGCTGCTTTTGAGAGTTGTCAGCAGAGGCAGTAGGTCCTCGAGAGCATGTGCAGTTCCAGGAAGGCCGCCGTAGTTAGTGCCAGCGGGCAGACTGGTGAGGTAGTCCATGTACTTCAGATTGGAATGGGATATATTCTTTTAATACTGTGCAAGTTCCAAGGTTTGCAAAGGACTGTGTGGGATGGGGATTCTCCCATTAGTCGGGTTGCCTGATGTCTCCTCTGCTCCGTGGGAGCAGGTATCCCTGGGAAGGAATTTATAGGAACGTCTGTGGGCCACAGTGTCAGTGACCAATGGTGGGGGAGGTGGTGACAATGCTTACTGAGAAGGGAGCGGGCAGAGGGCAGATAGTGTGTCATGGCATCTCATTTTAGTTTCCATTTCCCTGATTAGTAGTGAAATGCTTGCTCAGGTCTTTTGCCCATTTTTCCTAATGTGTTTTCCAACATGTTGTCTTTTTCTTATTTTAAAAGTAGTTGTTTATGTATTTTGGATACTAATCTTTGATGATAAATAATACAAGTAGATTCTCCCAGGCTCTGGGTTATTTTAAACTTTATTTGTAATGTCTTTTATCTAACCAGTTTTCATTCTTTTTTATTGTGAGATATACATACAAAAGAGTATGTGTGGGTACAGTGAGGGTGAGCACCCCTGCTCAGGAAACAGCTCTGCCTGTCGAGCTCCTCCTTGTCATCCCCTCCCCTGCTTTTTTCTGCATCTATTGAAGTAATCATGAATTTTCTCCTATAATATCTTAATGTGATGAATTATATCTGTTTGGTTTTATAACGATAAACTGATCTTGCATTTCTGGGATATTCTGTATATCATAAGGTGAATGAATGTCAGCCCTGCAATGGCCATGGCTGCTTGGAACCAGGCAGATGTCCACTGGATGAAAAAGCAAGAGCACAGGTGGATGGAGGCCTGAGAGAGCAGTAGACTCACACTGTTGCTCCACATGCTCTTCTGCTTAAATACACGCGTCCCCACGCACAGGCAATGCAGTTATATCAAATAGCTAAATTTAATGGAAAGAAACTCCTTTTGCTCCCAGGATTCTGGTTACTTACAGGAGGTTTATAAAGTCTCAGTCGGAGAAACTGCCCTCTTGCCATGTTCATGCTTTGGTAGAACACCTTGAGAGCTTTGGCAAATTCTCTGTCATAGCTGGCTTGCTGGCTGCACACTTGATTAATATCTCTGGCTGCTGGCAATTGCTCTGTCATCCCGGTTACCTTCAGGGTATTGGAAGGCTTATGTGCTAAGGTGGAAAGAAAAGATGACATCTATTTATCCACCTGGTTACTTATCCAGGTATTTATGCATTTGTTTATCTTGGTGGCATTTTACTGCATCAGCATTTATCAGGGACCAGTTTGGACCCATCCAAAGAAATCTTACAAGGCAGAAGGAAAAAAAAAGTTCTTCGTTTTTTTTTTTTTAATGAAACAAGATATAGATTAACTCATTAAAAAATCCACTTCTTAGAAAGACAAATACTCCTTGCAGATGTAGGAGTTCACAGATAGACTAAACCACCAAGACTCGAGCAGCCTCTCACCTTGTTGACTAGATCCAGTTTTCTCAAGTGATGCTTTGAGAAGCACATTTTCCTCTCTAAGCGCTCTATTAATGTTTCTGAGGAGCTCTGTCTCCTGTTCTAACTTGAGCAGCTTCAGATAGAGTTCTGATATCTGGTTCGATGTACTCTACAAAAAACATGTCAGTTTAGCCTTTTGCTGGATTATTTGCATTTCCTTTGAGACTGACAGTTTTTACTACCACATGAAAACTAAGGGGAATGGGGGGGGCGCTGCAGTGAGCAGGGTCAAAGCCCCTCAGGGTATACAGGAGTAAATCTAGAAAACGTCTCTTAAGAAGAAGGAACATTGATGATTCCCAGGCTGTCCTCTGAGATCTTCTAGTCATCAGTGACATCAATTTAATGTCCATAAATGTACACACCTTGCCTGTATCCATCACGGTGGAAATTTTCTTGGTGTCCACCATGATGTGGCCTTCACCTGTGGTCATGAGGTCTGGCTCACAGCAGCTCCGTTCGGCACAGCCTTCTACAGTGCGGAGGAGACACCGTTAAGGAAAGAAACGTCTCAGTTGTCCAGCCCCAGTGTTGTGTGAGGAGATGTTTAAACCAAGTAATCAATCACCTGTGGACTAGAACCCAGGGACCAGGAGAAGATGGCCCTTGGCCACTGCTGTTAAGACCCTGACCACCTCCCTCCACCTCCTCTGCAGCCCTAGATATACTGACATGAAATCTGATTGAAGAATGCAATAAATATGGTACCTTGAAGACCCCATAAATCAACAATGAGAGCATTTGTCTGTAAATAATTCAGAAACTCCTGAGATGCATTTAAGGCCGTAAATTGCACAGTCTCTTCAATTTGGGGATTCACAGTTTTCCATACAGGCTTGGTATATAAAGTGTTTGGAAGATCATAAATTCTGTACCTGAGAAAAGACCATAAAACATAATTTAAAACCAAAAGGGACACATTTGTAAAGAAAAAGATCAGATAAGCCAAAGAATTATAGCCTGCATGGGTTAGTCGGTAAAAGCTGACTTGTAATTGATTCTCATGATTACTACCTCCAACATCTCAGCTATTCGACATGAGCCTCATCACTGCATAGATCATATCAAATGTCTAACAAAAGAGGAAAACGGGCTGGCCCCGTGGCCGAGTGGTTAAGTTCACACACACTGCTTCGGCAGCCTGGGGTTTCACTGGTTTGGATCCTGGGCGCGGACATGGCACCACTCATCAGGCCATGCTGAGGTGGCATCCCACATGCCACAACTAGAAGGACCCACAGTTAAAATATACAACTACATACTGGTGAGACTTGGGGAGAAAAAGCAGAAAAAAAAAAAAAGATTGGTGGCAGTTGTTAGCTCAGGTGCCAACCTTTAAAAAAAAAGGGGGGGTTGAGAAACACTTTCTACCTACATAATCTAAAATTGTTCATTTTCCATGTCAGGTGGTGGTTTGGTTTTTGTCCTTCAAAGTCTCCTTTTCTTTATTGCTTTATCTCTTCATAGCCTTTTAGTCTAATTAGTTTAAGCATATCTGGCACTCTGCCATATTGTAGTACAGTCCTTTTGTTCCCAACTCAAAAAAAAAATTCTACTTAGATAATACAGTTTTACTGGATATTCTTATTTTTTTTTTTTAGGATTTGCACCTGAGCTAATATCTGTTGCCAGTCCTCTTTTTCTTTTCCTCCTTCTTTTCCCCAACCGCATCCCCCCCCCCCAGTACGTAGTTGTATATCCTAGTTGTGAGTGCCTCTGGTGTGGCATGTGGGATGCCATCTCAACATGGCCTGACGAGCGGTGCCATGTCTGTGCCCAGGATCCGAACCGGCGACACCCTGGGCCGCCAAAGCGGAGCGCGCCAACTTAACCACTGGGCCACGGGGTTGGCTCCCTGGATATTCTTTTTCATAATTAAAATTTATGACTATTGTTTCAATCACTTCAAAGATCAGTAAACATTGATCGCAGTCCAGCGACCTGGAGGGACTTGCAGCTTCCCTATTAAAAACAGGTGAGGGAAATAGTCATTTTGGGGTTGAGCAAGGAGAGAAACTTAAGAAAACTTCATGATAAACTCAGTTTTAAAACTTGAAGAAAGACTCCCTTCCCCTGGAGCCCCCAAGGTGGGTGGTTTGTGCACAGCCACTCTACAGGGCAGGCTGGTACCCAATCTGAACACCCCGCTCTGCGTCTTCCTTTAGCCACTTGGCGCCAAGGCATCGCACAATGCGAATCTGGAAATCCATCCTCTTGCCCAGCAGCTCCAAAGGGTCAATGACCACATCCTCCTCACCACATGCTCTACAAACAGAAGAGGTGAACATTGATCACAGGTTAGCCTGGGCCCGAGCAAGTTAGGACTGTGATGGCAAAGGGAATTACATAGACTCCGTAAGAGATGGCTGAGTTCGCTGAAGGAGAAATAGTAACATTATCAGCTTACAGAATTCATTCATTCAAGAGACACTTCACAAGAAACCAGTCCCCTGCTGGTACTTCAAGGTAAGATAGGGACATTCTCAGGGCGCTCACAGCCTTCTCCAGGAGGAGACGGGAGTATCACAGCTTCGTGCAGTAAATGCACTCAGACATGGGTGCTAAACGAGCATTAAAGATGGAGGTAGGTTCTCAGTGGGACAGAGGCTGCCCAGATGCAGTCTCGAGGTGTCAGTTTTCTTGGTGAATTCTTCATAATCCAGTCAACTCTAGGCCTACAAGCTCGAAAACTGATCTTGACAGCTTTCCAATGGGGACCTCTCTCACATCGACCAAACTCCTAAAGACTGGAACCTATAAACTAGAATGCTCCTGTATTAATTTGCTGTGGGGAATATAACCGTCAGGCAGCCAAGACGCCCGAGGTAGCCAAATGACCAGAAAGTTGCTTGGAGTCCCAGTAAAGGCAGTGAACCAATGGTCAGGGTGGTCTCTCAGTCACAGGACCTTATGGTTCTCTTGCTCCCTTCTTGAGCCTATTTCCTCTTCAGAAAAACAAAAACATTTCAGTCGGTGCCTCTGAGGACCCCCGTGCCAGCCTCTTTGCTTAGAACTGCTAAGAAACTAGCTTTTGTAAAAACTGCCTGACTGCCTATGGCCTAAAGAGAGAAAACAGATGAGCTATTCGGAGAGGAGGGTAACAGGTAATGGAGCAGAGTTAAAACAAAGCCTGTGCCCACGGAAAGATCAGATAACGGCATAGAATGAGGCCAGACAACAAATACACCTCAGTCCCTGCCTTGAGAAGAGGAGCAAAGAAATGATCAGAGCGTGTACCAAGGAGCGGGAGAGGGTGAGCTGGAAGATTGGCTTTCCGCTCCTGGTTGTTGGGCCTCATCGGCAGGGATTTTAAATATTTCAGGTCAGCTGATTTGGCTACCATGGCAAAAATCAGATTCGGTGAGGTCAAATCATGAATGAATAAGTTCATTCATTTGTCTCATGAATGACCTCTTCGGGGTGCAAGGTTGACCACCCCCTCCAGAAGAACCCAGGCTTGAGATGAGTTTTCCATGTTTGACAGAACTAGGCAAGGGGGAGGAGATACCTACTGTCCTGTCGGGGAGCAGGGGCTTATGTGGATATGCAACACTGCCTCCTCCAGCCCGTCGCAGTTCAGAAACTCTACTTGCTCCTCAAGCTTCATGCAGTAGGCAAGCGACTGAAGCCAGATGTGAGCTGAGCCCAAGTGGATGACCTCGAGAGGATCCCAGAAAGGGTCATCTTCCTGAGCTACGTGGCTGTCTTCTCCATCTAGAAAGCGCTGGTAAAGCTCCTCCATTAGGAATTTCCTATTGATAAACTTGGCTTTTGACCAAATCCACACCTGGAAATACAAAGGTCACTCACCAATATTTGATTTCATCTGTGGCTCTTCAAGTCATTTCTATGATTTTTCCCAGTGTGCCCCCTGTGGGCTGGGTTTTGGGTACCCAAGACCACATAACACTCTCATCAAACAGCTTTGGTGAGGTCCTTCAAGAGCACCATGTTCTTCCTGGACCTATTACTTCAGCATCGCTTGAGTTGCTGGAGTCCAGGAAATGACTTAGAGGAGATGATGAAGGAGTTAGAAAACAGACCCTCCTAGGAGAAATGAAGGTTTGCGGCTTGTGGTACACAGAAGAATGGCCCTCAAAGATGTCCATGTCCCAGTCTCTGGAGCCTGTGAATATGTTACTTTACCTAGCAAAGGGGAAACAAGGCTGCAGATGGAATTAAGTCAGCTTATCAACTGACCTTGGATTACAGGGAGATTGCCTTGGATTATCTAGGTGGGCCGAATGTGGGCCTTAAATGTGGAAGAGGAAGCAGAAGAGGGTCAGAGAGAGCACGATGGTGATGGAAGCAGGGCAGGAGAGATGCTGTGTGGCTGACCTTGGAGATGAAGGAAGGGGCCGTGACCCAAGGAATGTTGGCAGCCCTCTAGAAGCTTGAGAAAGCGAGGAAACAGCTTCTCCCTTGCACCTCCAGAAAGCAAGGCAGCCCAGCTGCCACTGTGCTCGTAGCCAGGGAGGTGTGTGTCGGACTGTAGCCTACAGAACCGTAGGATGATAAACTTGTGCACTCACACCCGTGAGCAGGAAGCCCAGGACAAGGCCTGCCACTGGTGAGGGACCGGGCCTCTGCATGAGCATGGCTAGCGATGAGCATAATCTGCAGGATGAGGGATTCAAGTTAGACAGAAAATTTCTTGACCAATGATGTCACGTCGGAAGTGGTAACCAGGTAAAAATAGCAACTCCTCCTCTGAGCAATTTGGAAAAAAACCTAAAAAACTGACAGATAAGTCATTCTCTCTTAGTGTTACGTGTCTTCATAGAAAGGACCTCCTCTAGACACTAAAAAGCCTTCATTCCTTTTCTGTTTTCTCAAGTAAATTGAAGAACACAGTGCTCCTCTCCCAGAGGCGTCATAAAGGCAAAATGAGAACCTGGCTGTGGCATATATTATGGGCAGCAGAGTGCAACAGGAATTCTAGTGGGTTCTGAGACCTTCAGGCTAGGGAACTAAGATAGTGGGAATCAAGCTAATGAGATCAGTGGACAGAGCGCAGGCCTGGGACAGATAGAAGCGATGGCACCCTTGGCAGGTCAGCGAGGCTCTGTGGGACCCTTCCTCCCGGGGTGGCCCTGCAGGGCAGGAGCAGACACTCTGGCTGGAAGTGCCTGTCACCTGAGCCGACACTTGGGCAGGTGCTGCTGAAAAGTAACCTCAAGCTGGCAGCATTTCCAGTTCAGAAGACCCTCCCCAGCCTCACATCGCCTGGGCTCGCTCCTCAGCTTCTCCTTGATTTGCGACTCTGACAGTCACACAAAACTGCCCACAGGCACTCTTTCCTCCCAACAGCTGCGGCAGTGTTCACCGCCCAAGGGGTCCCAGGGCAAACATTTACAAAGTCAGCCAGCAAAGGAGTGCCATTCGTGTCTGTGCCTGGGACCCGCTGCTGCTCGCCGCCAGTCTTTCCTTTAGCCTTCAAATCACACACATGTTCCAAGAAACCACCAGGAGTTACTGCCAGCCTTTCAGAGGCTCCTGAGGAAGGTGGAGCTTAATTTGAGGAAAGGTCACTGGTACTTTTAAAAGATAAAAATGGACAACCTTAAAGATGACAGATCAGTAAGACTACTCACTGCGTGAGAAAAAAGAAAAATAGGAAAAAATTGCGTAAAAGTAATTAGGGCACAAAACCTTAAAAGTGAACCCAGGGGCTGGCCCAGTGGCGCAGCGGTTAAGTTCACACGTTCCGCTTCTCGGCGGCCCGGGATTGGCCGGTTCAGATGCCGGGTGTGGACATGGCACCGCTTGACACACCATGCTGTGGTAGGTGTCCCACGTATAAAGTAGAGGAAGATGGGCACGGATGTTAGCTCAGGGCCAGTCTTCCTCAGCAAAAAGAGGAGGATTGGCAGCAGTTACCTCAGGGCTAATCTTCCTCAAAAAAATAAAAAAAGAACCCAGTGGGGTTTACCCAGGAGCAGTCCTGTCACTCAGTTGTCCGTGACTGTGACAGGGATGTCACGCTGAAGGAAGAAAACAAAATGTCCCCAGGCCCTCAGCTCTCACACCACACGCTCAAGAATCAAATGTAACACCGTCGTGCCGTTCTATTTCTGGTAACGGCTGGGTGTGTTAGGTAACCCTTCTGCTAACAATAAACAAGGCTGAATAAAGTAGTTTCCAAGTCACCTTAAACTGTAGTAAGAAATAAACAATAAAAAATGGAATAATATGGAAAACAGATTTTAAAAATTAAAAATCTCCTTAAAACAAGATCAGACAAGACAGTAGGAAACTGCCAGACCAAATTCTGGGGGACACCTGGCCCCAAAGAGGCATATAGAATATTGGATCACCAGAGATTCTTTGCCCTGATGGCATTTGCCAAAAACACCAGAACCAAAACCACATACCCAGTGAGAGCTCAGCAGGGAAGGCCTCATGGGACATGGCATAGAAGTCAAGGCTGACTCCCCAGGGATGGGGGGTCTTACAGGAGACCCTCCCGCATCATACTAGGACTCCTGAGAGCTACACTGGGAGTGTGAGGTGAGCCAGCGTCAAACATGCTGCTCTGGACTGTGTGTGTGTGTCCCCAAAATTCATAGGTTGAAACCTAACCCCCGTGTGATGGCATCAGGAGGCGGGGCCTTTGGGAGGTGATTAGGTCATGAGGGTAAAGCCCTTGTGAATGGGATTAGTGCCCATATAAAAGAGACCCCCCCACCCGAGTGAGGACACACAGAGAAGACGGCCGTCTGTGAGCCAGGAAATCCTCACCAGACACCGAATCTGCCCGTGCCATGATCTGGGACTCCCTCGCCTCCAGAACTGTGAGCAGTAAATTGTTGTTTAAGCCCCCACTCTTTGGTATTTTGCTATAAAGCCCAAACAGACTCAGACACCGTCTCTCCCTTTCCTCCAACCCTGGGAGATGTAGAGGAGGCCACCTTGGCACTGGTGAGAGGGAGAAAGGAAAAGCTTCTGAGAAGCTGCGCTCCAGAATGGCCCTGACCCAGATTCGCTCCTGGGCACTCACAGCCTGGGGGCCAGTTAAACTCCAGTGGTGAACTTGCCGGCTCCGGCCCCTGGCAGACAGAAGCACAAAACCCCTTGAACTGGGTGGTAAGTACCTAGGGATTTACAATATAATGTGAACATACACATTTATAGTCTTTTCTCTGTGTTTTTCATATTTCATAATTTTTAAAAGTTTTAAAATTGGTCTTGACCCAGAAAATGTTGACAACTTTAGGAAATGAGCAGAAAAGTTAAACCCAGAGAAGCATCAGTTAGTTGCTCAGTGGAGCAGATCACTCAGTGACCGAAAAGTCCCCAGCGTGGCCAGCCCCTCCTCCAGTGCATGTTTGCTGCAAGACTCATGGCTAAGGAGGGGTGTGTGTGCCCTGAGGATCTGGGAGGGAGCAGTCCACCCAAAGGTCAGCTGAGAATTAGAGGCACGTCCTCTGAAGACAGGCTAAGGAGTGAGCGTTCTCCCGGAGCCAGAAGTCTGAGGGCTGCTCCAAAAGCATGACATACACAAGGGACGCCAAAAGATGGGCCTGCTCTTCTCTGTTAAGCAGAGGGAGAGGAAACGGGTCTTCAGTTCCTAAAAAGGTCCTTCCTGATGTGAGCAATGTCAAACACGGGAATGGATCAGCCAGTGGAGTTTGTGAAATGGACTTTTCTGGAATCTTAATGACAGTGTGGATTTTCTCCTCGTTTCAGAATGGCAGATCTCTCTTTGTCGTGCACACACACATACGCACAGGGACACCATTACCAATTCAATAAACTTTCAGACTCCCTTCTGAAAGTAAAGCCTTTGAGTCATGTTAAAAATAAACAGAAAGAGCTCACTGCCAGTGGTTAGGAAAGATTCCAGAACTTGGTGCTGTGTGGCAGAGAAGCTCAGGAGGGGAGACATGGCGGAGCGTCCTCCTGTCCCTGGAGTCTGTCCCCCAGAATCCCAGCTCACACTTGGAAGACATCTAGCCCCTTTGCTGGGTCTCCACAGGCTATAGCTGGTAAAACTAACCTGCGTGCTTAGGAAACCTGCTCAGAAACCCCTTGTGGAGGCCCACGCCCGCCCACAGCGGCAGCCTCACCTCATGAGTCCTCTGATTGGTCACCTTCACCATGACCTCTTTCTGTAGGTCGTAGCCCCTGGAATCTGACAAAGCCAGATTCTTCACTTTCAATTCCATTTTAAGTCCCTGGTAAGAGAAACACTACTCACTAAATAAAATCCTACATTTACCAGCCTACACCATCTTTGCAATTTCTCTTTCATTCTCTTCACACTCAGGCTTTCTAAAAGAAAATAGTCCAACTCTTGCGCGTTGGAATTGCCACCAAAAGAAATGACAAAGCACCAGAATTTCTCAATATTCTGGAACTAACGTGTAGCCCTTACCAAAGTGATTAAGTCCCTTATGAGTTTCCCGATGACGGGGTTCCTGTGTCACCAGGGAGCTAACCTATCCCAGGTCTTCTCTGTGGTGTAGAAGCCACCATAATCCCTGACCCAGAGAGGCCACTTGGGAGGACAATCTGGGATCGAGTGGTCAGGTGAGCAAGGATTGGTCTGGGGTCCTGATGGTTCTGGTGGCTCTGATGGGCCAGAGGTGGAAGGCATGGCTCTAGGGGCTGAGACTGGGAAGGCCTGGGTGTTGGCCCAGGTTCTGTCACTGGCTCACTGTGGAGTCTTGGGCAAAGCACCTCCCCTCCCCAGGCCTCTGTGTCCTCGTCTATACCATGAAGCCAGTTTGAGGCAGTGGGAGTGGGGGGTGTGGAACCTGTTCCCCAAGGTCCTTTCTGGACTTGACATGCCAATTCTAGCTCTTGCCTTCCCCAGCTCTTCACTCATTTGATTTGCTTCTGCAACCAGTGGCATCAGTTTGATGTAGTCCTGGAACACAGCCAGGACACTGGGGTCTGCTTTCCCATCTCCACTGATCACAGCACCTAGGGGAAAAGCAGAACAGAAGGAAAAGTCAGTCACTTGCTCTGGGATGCTCATTGGTTCATTCATTCTACATTTACAAGCATGTAATTTTTGGATTCTTTTTCTTTCTTCTTCTTTCTTTTTTTTTGCTGAGAAAGATTTGCCCTGAGCTAACATCTGTGCCAATCTTCCTCTGTTTTGTATGTGGGTTGCCACCACAGCATGGCTGCTGAAAAGTGGTATAGGTCCAGGCCTGGGAACTGAACCCTGGGCCTCCAAAGCAGAGCATGTAGAACTTAACCACTAGGTCATGGGGCCAGCCCCGGACAAGGATGTAATTTAAAAAAAAAAACTAAATAAGTGAGGAAAAAAAGATATTGCCTAGCTTTTGCTTAAGTAGTTGCTCATCTCAACCCATGAATCTTGGCAGCTTCATGACAGGAGGCTCTCTGCCCTGGGTTCCCATTCTTTGTCTCAAGGTCCTTGACCCAAGGTGGCTCCAGACTGTCCAGGGCGAAGAGGTTGGGGAGGTAAAAAATGGTTGTCTAGGAAGAAGGTCTGGGGATTTATCCTGAAGCTACAGCTGGCACAGCGAGCAACCTGTTCTTACTTCTATTTAGTTTGGGGTGGCTTGGAGGAGGGGATCGTGGAGATTTTGGGAGAAGCAATCCCCCTGCCAGACCCAGGTTGGTGCTGCCTTGTGGCAGGAACTCTCAGCTCTTTAGGGATTCCCTGCCCATGGGTTCACACCGTGCCCTGTGGCCCTGAGGGGTGACTCCCCAGAAGTGCCCGCCAGCTGCCTTGTTGAGGACCCACAGTCTACTTAGATGCTGAGCACCTTCAACCCAGGGGCTGGGGCGTGTTCACCCACATTGCACCACCAGCTCTGGGCTGGGAAGACAGGTGTGCAGTCGACCCTGTAAATCAATAAATGAATAGATGGAGCATCCAGGCTTGGTACTAGAGAGTCTCGTTTATTGGCTGATTTGTTTTCGGTCAGGAACTTCAGCAGAAAATGAGCAAGGAGGTGAATTTCAAATCAATTTATTTTGCTAAAATTCTGAGAAAAAACCTCTGGTGTAGGGAAAAGGGAGGAACTATTTTGCACAAATGTGTGTGCACCCCACTGCCCTCCACCCACGGGTCTGTTACAGCAAGTTCAGGGAGAGCTCGTGTGCTTGAGGAAAGGGTAGGTGCTGGCACGTGAGAGATGCTCCTCCTCTGGGCAGCCCAGCACAGCACGAGGATCTCAGTGGAGTCCAACCTCCCCTGGCTTCCGGGGGAGCCCTGGGACCACAGCTCACCTGAGCGACTGAACCGGGGCCTGAGGAGGGGAGGGGAGCAAAGGTGCTCAGGAGCCTCCATCAGAGGCGTGGGAAGAGATGGACGAGGGAGATGGTAGGGCTTCTGAGCGGTCTCGCGTATGAGGAATCCCAGATTGCTAGCATCATGTCTGCAACTTACTCTCAAAGGGTTTAGAAACAAATTATCTATATACGCATATCTGTATACACATACACACACACCCCTATAACAAAGCAAATGTAGTAAAATGTTAGGAAACCTGAGTGAAGTGTGTATGAGAGTTCTATGCACCACTCTTGAAACGTTTTTACACGTTTCAAGAAATTGTTTCAAAATTAAGAATTAGAGACAAATGCTTCCCTGCCATGGCAAGAGGCTCTGGGAAACGAGGGCAGAACATGTGTGAGGCTGGGGACAGGCCAGCTGACAACTGCTGACTTCCCGGCTAAGACGCAGTGGGGACTGTGCCCACGAGAGAGCCACGCGATGACCACAGAAGAAAAGGCTTCAAGTGCAAGGGAGAGCCGTCAAGAAAGATCATCCGAAACATGGACAGAAGGCGAAGGGCGGCTGTCCTTTAAGTGTCCTGGCAGAGCCTTGTGTAGGCGTCTCTGTTTCCCTAGGGGAATGTCCCACTGTGTACTTACTACTTACTATTCATTAGGGCCTGGACTCTGAGCTGTTAGATGTTACTTTGTCAAAGACCGGCAATTTAAAATGATTTTTATCCGTAGAAGATTATTGCCCGAAGGCCATTGGTTAGCTTTGCCTGACTCGGCAATCTCACCCCAGCCTGCCATATACACTACTGCCCCCAACTCCTTGGAACCATCTATACCCCCATTCACGAGGGAATCAGTTTAATGAATTAAATCTGATGTGTGCTCGCTCTATATTTGTGTGGAAATCATATTTTAACTTTCTAAACATTGTACTTTGACACAATAGAAGATTATTTCCTTAACAAAGCCGGAGAGCACACAGTGAAAGCAGTTGCTTTCAGATCAGCCCATGGTGAATGCCGGAAGTCAGGGCCGAGGCTGCTCACCGAGCTTGTCCACGCTCACTCCCTCCGCAGCTGCTCTCTCCAGCTGGAAAAAGTCGTAATCAAATCTGCTCAAGTCGTCGCTGCCTCGCTCTGAGGGAAACCCGATGTAGAGGTAGGCACTGTTGGAGCCTAAAATAATTCGGTCCTAGGGAGGAGAGAGTCGGATCAGAGAAGGAGGCTGCCCTCACAGGACCCTTCGGAGGCCAGAAGGGGCCAGGTCAGCCTGCTCCAGCAGGGCCAAGGCCCTGTGCCCAGCCCAGCTGAGTTAAGTCACAAAACCCGTCTGAGCCCCCCGAAACAGGGGAGAGACCCATGTGTGAGGAGGGAAGGGGTGGCATCCTGCCTCTGGGGGCATGCTTTCAATTTATTTCCTTATTCCACACTGAGCGCTGACTCTCCATCAAACACTGGGAATCACTGGGGCCAAACAGACCCAACGCCTCCCAGCAGCGCTTGACAGACTAACGACGTGACCACTACCCGTGAGAGCGCTTAGAGGAAAGGGGCGGGGCTTCTGCAGCGTATCCGCGGGGCCGCGTTTATCCGGGGATTAGAGAAGGCCCCTTCGGGAGTGGTCTATTAAGGTGAGAGTTCCAGTGCGGTTGGTTTCTGCGAGGCGGGGAAGGCTGCTGCGGACAGGGCCTGGGGTGTTTTGAGCACCCAGGAGGTCAGCGTGACTAGGGAGGCGCGCAGAGCAGCGCGGCTGGAGGCGGCGGGGCGGGCAGCTCGCGCAGGCGTCCTCAAAGGGAGGCCCTGCAGGACTTCAGAAGGGAGTGACCTAATGCAGTCTGCTCGTCTAAGAGGCTCTCTGTGGCCACGGTGTGGAGAACGGACTGGAGGAGGATTGGGCTGCAGGGAGGCTGGTAGGAGCCTGGGGTGCTGGGACGCAGGCCAGGGCGGTAGCGAGGAGACAGAAGGAGGCTGACGTTTGCAAGGTGCTGTGCAACCCCTCTCATTGGCAGGTTTTTTAAAAACCAAAAAGTCATAAAATGTTAAAGCTGGAAGGGATCTTGGTGATCATCCAGTTCACCCCGCTCTGCCTTATAGGAGAGGTCCAGAGAAGCGAAGCAACTTGCCAAGAACACACAGCAAATTCTTATCAGATCTCCCAACTTCACAGCTGTGACCGTGTCATTATCGTGATCCCGCAGCCGAGGGGCACGAGGCGGTTGGTGCCCAGCCCACCCAACCCTCGCTGCAGTTTCCAGGCCTGGGGCTCCTCACAAGGACCTCTCCCGGCTCTTGGGTGGGACTCAGGCAGGAAAGTTTACCAAATGCTGCAGCTTCGTCGCGGTCGTGATGGGCACCCCGTTAACGACAACCTTGCATTTGCTGTGTGGCGTGACTGTCACTTTACCATCCAAATTTGTGAAGGAAGCGTGTTTTTCTGAAATTCTAAAAGGACAAGAGTTTGTCTAAGTGACCAAATAAAGATTTCAGTGAACAGCTTAAGTTCTCTTTCTCACTCACACACTTCAGTAGTCTAGAGCTGCTGACGATGCATCTGTGGGCTCCCGTGTGCCGTGGCCACAGCGGGTGCAGAAGGACCCTGCACACAGACTTGGGAGAGAATGAGGCAATTCTTTTATTAATAGAACCAGCATTAATAGAACCAGCACCGACTGAGTGCCGATAGCTGCAAGGAGCCCGGAGACATGGGGGTCACAGCCAAAGTCCTCAAAACACACGGGCTAGTGGGACTGATGGAGGGAAAGTGAAATGAAGTTTCAGAAGAGACGCTTGGGAAGGTGACTGACTAATGAGCCTCTGGCACTGCAGAGAAGTCTAGATCTGTTTCTGGGTCTTTGTTATAGAAATCCAGACTTTGTATGTCACAGGATTTGGGACTAGTTGTCAGATTGGCTGCCCAGTGGACATCATTTGTGTGCCCTGAGTGATTGTATTCCTAACTGTTCTAGAATGTTCCAGCACTCCTCGGCTGTCATGGAATGTTCTGGATGTTGAGACACCTGTCCATCCATATCCCTTGTTTGCTTGGGGCCCAGGGATCCTATGGGAAAGTTTTTAACCTCAGCTTATGTGGAGTTCAGCCACTTACAGACCTCTGTGTTGGACTAGGGGTCCCCACAGGAAGTGGCCTGAAAGGGAGATGAGGGGAATCCCCAGGAAGAATCAGGAGAAGGGGTCTGGAGGCTGGTGGTGCAGGTGAGGTGGTGCCCACTGGCCCCTCAGTCAGCACTGTCCCCTCCCCCCCAACCCCCCACACTTTGGCGTGAGAGGGCTGAGGTAAGCTGGGGGGACTGGCCAGCAAGGACTCTCTGTAAGGGCTGATGGAGCCTATTGGCTGGAAATTGTGGGCAGCCAGGACACAGAGGTCTGGGAAGGAGGAGAGAGAGCCCTAGGGCAGTGGCCTTCCGAGTAGAGAGGCCACAGAGGTGGGACACTGCTGTGAGTTTATGAAACCCCACCGTAGGGTTCCACAGGGGCTCCCGGAGGGCTCTGAGGGACTCCTTGGGGAGGGGTCACCTCCGAGCCTGGGCTTGCTGTCAGTGCACTTGGTGCTTGCTCAGAGATCTGAGGATGCTCTTGCTTTCGGTGGTGAGACCGTGAGAGGCATGAGCTGCCTCGGTGGGCCTCTGCTTTCAGCTCTCTTCATTTCCTGGGCAAACCTATTTGTGTGGAATTATCACACCGAGTCTCGCAACTGACTTTCCCTTTTCTGCCAAGATCCGAACCAAGGAAACAGTGAGCACAGCAGGAGGAATTTTGGCGAGAGGATGGAAGCCCTTCCACCGGCATTGGAGCGGGTCGCTGAGGGAGGTGGGAATTTCTTGCTCCTGGTTGTCCAGCAGGACTTGTGGCCTGGCCTGTTGCTGACCAGATGAATTCTGGGAATCTCGTCTGGTCACAACTCTCCGAAGCTGGACGAAGATAGTTCATGTAAACTTACCCCAAACCGTGAAGAGTGATGGCGTTTGAAGTAGCCTGACCAGCATCACATGAACCTGAAAAGAATTAGGATAAATTGCTTTCAAAATTTTTCAGGATTTGGTCTTAACAAGAGAACAGGTCTGATGTCTGGGAAGGGCCGTTTCCTCTCCAACAGGATCATGGGAAGGGATTTTCCCACTGGGATTTTCGATCATAATGGTACTTGGGCATCACCTTGCTTAGGGATAATTGTTCTACTTTCTTCCCTTTTTGTGGGACTCTTAACCTTTGTAAAGTTCCACCTTCTTCATGGGAATTCTGGAGGAAGAAGCCGTTGAGTCTGGACCTTAGGAGATGCGCTGAAGGCTGGCCACAGCGGGGGTCCCGGTCTGTGAAGGTCTGTTTCTATCTGTGACTGACCCCGGGACAGAGCAGAGGGCACCACCGGCCCTCCCGCGTGCTGCACCCCCCGCCTGGCCCCCGCTGCCGTGCTTCAAGAGCCCTCTACGGGCTTGAGTGTGCACAGGGCCAGAGCGGGGAGAACCAGATGTTACTGCAACACGGGTGCCATTTTCCAGTGGATGAGCGGGTAAGCAAAAGGTGGTCTATGCAGGCAATGGAATATTATTCAGCCTTAAAAAGGTAGGAAATGCTGACACGTGCCACAACATGGATGAATCTTGAGGACCTTATGCCAAGTAAAATAAACCAGTCTCAAAAGGACCAATACTGCATGATTCCACTGTGCGAGTTCCCTGGAATAGTCAAATTCATGGAGATAGAAAGTGGAAGGGTGGGTGCCAGGGCTGGGGGAGGGAGAATGGGGAGCTATTGTGTAATGGTACAGAGTTCAGTTTGGGAAGATGAAAAAGGTCTGGAGATGAATGGGGGTGATGGTTGCACAATGTGGATGTACTAAATGTCACTGAACTCTTCACTTAAAAATGGTTAACACAGTGAATTTTATGTTATGTCTATTTTACCACAAAAAATAATTTTAAAGAAAAGCACCATGCTCCTGGGGTGAGAAGCAGGAGCAGGGCCAGAGTAAGTCGCGGGAGAGAGTACCAGGCTGAATGAAGTACTTGAGGACGCCAGTGAGCTGTGGGTCCTCGTTGACGTTGAGAAGGTGAGGGAGGGTCTCCGTCATCTGCCGCTCCTGGAGGAGAACAGAGAGGGTTCCCGTCACCAGGCAGCCAGCACACTCAGAGAAACGCTCCTTTCCTGCCCACTTCTCATCAAATCCGTCTGTCTGTGCCTCCTGTGAAATGGGCTGGTAGAGCAAGCCCAGAAGGGGTGAGCCAAGCGGGGCTGGGGGCTCCCTGATAGCAGGGGTGAGCCCTCGGCAGGGCAGGGGTCAGGGGCCTGAGCTCTTCTGGACAGGGCTGCTCTGAAGCATAGCCAGTTTCCCACTCTGCTCCCCCTTCCCAGCCGCCCTCCCGTTGTCCCTCCACCTTGACCTCTACCCCACCATTTTCTTCAGGCTCCCAGTGTCCCCAACTGTCAGGATGCCCCCCTCTGGTACCCCACCTGGACAGTCCTTCTCTGGGGCCTCCACTGAACCGGCTACGCTCCATCTCATTCCCCGAAGCCCCCTGACAACCAGCTGTTGATGACCCTCTCCTGGCTACCTAATGCACCTCAGTCTTTAATACAGCATTGATGGGCGTTGTGCTCATAGAAGATTGACAGTCACACAGACCTGGAGCAAACCACGCACCAGCAGGAGAGCTCTTAAATCCTGAAATTCTGATGGAGAGTAAGGAGGAGAAAAATCCATTCTGTTGTTACAGTCCACCGGAACAAACTCCTGTGTTCTTGCCCTGGGAATCCTACCCAGTCCTTGCAGCTAAGAGTTGTAGATCCAGCTGCCCCGTTACATAGAAGCTTACTTGAACAGCACTCTAGCTGCTGCGTGCACCCCATGTTGCACCCACACCTCTACAATTCTTGGACACCGGCCTGACCTGGCCTCCTGATGCCACAACCCTCCCCCCGACTGCGCCCTCACCATCAGAGGTTCACATCTTTTCTGGGCTTCATGAGCTGTTCAGAATCCAGACTAGACCCTCCCACCACTCCCAGTGTTCCAGGTCTGGCCCGTGACTCTGGGGAGTAAGGTCATGGTGGGGGTGCAGTGTTGACCGGAGGCAGAGATGGCATCTCCCTGACCCACGCAGGAAATTCACATCACAGGCCCTTGAGGATGTGGTATTGGCAGTGAATGCCACGGTTCAGGGTCACAACATACCGTCCCCAGAAGACAACTCGTATTCCTCAGATTCTCCCCCAACTCTAATGATCAGTGGCCTCGACTTCTATCCTCAGCCTCTCTCATCAGTATGCACCAAGGCCTCTGCTTCCTTCTCTTTCCCGCCCTGCCATTCTCCCCACTAACTCTGCCAATAACGTTATTGTAAGTCATGTGCCACGTTTCACATGTTACACGTTCACGAAAAACGCTCATCCCTGTCATCCACCGGACAGCAGCCCTGACGGCAGCGCATGTCCCGGTGGAGTGCCAGGCCGCGGACCCAGGTGCGGCCTCCACGGGTGGAGGCGGGAAGCTCACCCGGGCAATGGCCACGTATTGCTGCTGCCACTCCTTCCGAGCCTGCTCCAGCTGGTGCGCCCAGCTCATCGGGTCAGCATGAGGCCCGAGCCCGTGCTCGGCCAGCAGACAGGCCGGCTGCCCTGGAAGGAGGGAGGTGTTTTAGGTGACGGGCCAGCAGTGTCAAAGGTGAGGCACAGAATAACAACAGTAACTCTCCACTCCCCTCTAAGTCAAAACACGGGACTCTCAGGGGCCGGCCTGGTGGCACAGTGCTTAAGTTCTCACGTTCTGCTTCGGCTGCCTGGGGTTCGCTGGTTCGGATCCCGGGTGCAGACATGGCACCACTTGGCAAGCCATGCTGTGGTAGGTGTCCCACATATAAAGTAGAGGAAGATGGGCATGGATGTTAGCTCAGGGCCAGTTTTCCTCAGCAAAAACAGGAGGATTGGCAAGAGTTAGCTCAGGGCTAATCTTCCTCAAAAAAGGAATAAATAAAAAATTTTAAAAATTAAAAAAACCCCAGGACTCTTGGCAGGAGTGAGGAGTTTAACTGCACTTCGTGTGAAGAAGAAATCGCTTGGTAAGTTCTGCCAAGAGTAGTATCACCTTTTAATCCATAAGAAACTAGGACACAGAGGTCCTTTGTAGGAGGAGCCCCAAAGCTCAGCATCCTATTTTTCATTCGTGTAGGTGTTACAGGGACTTCTTGTAAGGCCAGAGGGTTCGGGAAGAATCGAAGCTGGTCTCACAGTGTTTTTCACATATTCTGTGTCTGTGCTTCTGAATAATGGGCATTGGATGTTATGTTTAGGTCAACAACCAGCGCATCCAGCTTTTGATGTTACAGAGATTTGTGACCCAGCAGAGCCGTGCGTGGGCCAGGTGAGGCACTGACTCCCTTGAGGAAGGGCTTGGTGGAGGCTGCAGCCTCAGTGAGTCAGGACATGGGAGCCTGGAGATAGGCCAGGCGAGCTGACGTGACCTCTGAGCCTGGCATCCACCAAGGCAGCATGGCGGGGCCGGGGGGTGTTGTGTAGCTTCCGATATTGCTGTTTCGATGCTCAACACTTCTACCAATTTTACTTCAACAGTTTTATATTTTGCTTTTTTATCCATCCCATTCTAAATTATTAACAGGCATAAAATTATATATACCTGCATGCTGCCAAACTGAAATCTGAGGCCTAGCTCAAAGCAGCAGCTCTGGACGATTGCACCCAGAGCCCCCCGGGGCCTTCAGGCAGGACTGCGGTGCCAGGGGTTGACTAACTGGTCTGGGTGGTGCTTAGTCACCAGGTGACTCTGAAGCGCAGCCAGAGCTGAGAACAGTCTCAGGAGACCGTGCTGCTGCTGACATCGCTCAACCACGTGAGGCCACCAGGAGAATAAACGTCAAATGGCTACCGTCCAAATCTGGTGAGGAAAGTCAAAACAATGGCCTCAAAATAAAAATGGCAATAAAATACAAGACTAAAATGACTATTTTAAAAGGGCAGGGCTATTGTTTCTTACAACTGCATATAAATCTATGTTTACCTTAAAGTGGTTTTTTTCCCCAAGGTCAGGGCCAAAATGTCCTGACAAAGTCCCAGAGGCCACCGTTGGCCGGTCCTGGGGCTCCCGTCAGATTCTAACCAGGTGTTCTGCCCCCAGGCCCCTCCTGAGCCCACGCTGGTCACTCACTCCCTCCTGTCCCCAGCCTTCTTACTGCTGGCTTTTACTCAACATCGACTCCTGCCTCAGTTTACCTGCCATGCTGGAGTTTCCACATCCGAGCAGCAGTTTGTTGTTCTCTGTCCTCGACTCTCTCATCAGCGTTGAGGTGTTGACCACGGCTTTGTTCCGGATCTTCTTAGCCCTTCCGTGTGCAAGGACGACACACACTCAGGCCCTGGGCCTGCTGCAGCTGGAGCAGCACCCCAGAGGCCTGGGCAGCAAGGGTCAAGGTGGGAGCCCCTCCCCCCGGACGACTCAAGATTCCACCAAGTCGGGTCCCAGTAAGCCATTAAGACCAAAAGGGACTTTAGTGACTTTCGTGGTTCAAATAAAGGTGAGCAGCTCAGCTGGAGCCCAGAGCCCAGAGCCCGGCCCCTGACGTGTCCAGGGCCCTGAACACACTCAGCCAGTTGGGCTGCCTCAGTGAATGAAAAAGTCTGCCCCCTCCCTCCTGTGGCAGCTGTGATAACTCAGCCTGAAGGCTTCCAGCACCGCTCTGCCCTGTGCGCCCAGTCCCGGGGTCTCAGAGGTGAGCTGTCTCAGTTCCTTCTAGTGTTGCCAGAGAAAACATGGGACGCCCTCAAATATTGCATGGGACGTACTTATGCTAAAACATTCTTGCTCTTTATCTGAAATTCACGTTTAACTGGGCATCCTGAATGTCTATTTGCTAAATCTGGCCACCTTCCTCCTCTCATTTTACACAGAGGAGATTGAGGAACAGAGAGTTTACAAGGCTTGCCCCAAGTCACACAGTCTGGCAGAGCGCGGACTAGAGCCCTGGACTTCTGGGTACCATTTTCTCTTTCCTGTACATCACAGTCTCTCATCACATGTAAAAACTGTTAGCACCAGATTTGCATCTGATAAGCAGTAAAAACTGTTAGCACCAGATTTGCATCTGATAAGCAGAGAGAAAGCGAACATTCTAGATATTACTGAAGGCAAAATTCGACCTAAAGATCTGAGCCTGTTGGGCAGATGCTGGAAGAAAACGTCTACCGGTGTGAAATGTTCCTGAGGCTGCACAGTGGAGGATGAGAACACAGGTATTTCTCACTTAAATGCAAGGGGCTCCCTCCCTCAGAGGAGAGCCAGGGAAAGACAGGAGAGGCGATCGCTTGGTGGCATAATAACATCTGCGATTTCTGAGCATCAAACACACGCCAGGCAGAACTCGGCCAGGAACGGTTCGTGCACCATCTCATATGGCCTTCACCCCAATGCTGTGAATAGGTATCCACCCCGTCAGTGTGAGAGGTCACTGAGGGTTGGGGAGGTCCAGGTCACACAGCTGGTGGGGCAGACACTGTCTGCAGCACAGGCCCTCAACTGGACAGGGACATATTAGAGTGGGCAAATGTTTTCATTTCCCATGGAACTCCAGCTGCCTGGAACGCAGGCCTGAGAATTCCAGGGTCCTGTCTGACCCGATGGGAGCCTTGCAGTGGTGGGTTCTCGTGTTTGCCCTGCGGTGGGAAGGAGGAGTGGTGGGGGCCTGCGGGAGAGTTTCTCTCCCTGGTTAGAGGCTCCCTCTCCCCATAGCCCACCTCCCTTTCTTAGAAGGGTCAGGAGAAGCAGGTTGGAATAAGCTCCAGATGCCTGCCTTGAAAAGCAGGAACGTGGCACAGCCACAGCCTCGCGCCAGGCTAACTGCAGGGGTTTGTTTCCTGGGCCAGTTGGATGGGAAGGAGCTGGCCATGATTGCCCCTCCCTGAGAAGAGACCTAGCCCTTCACGCCTATTCCAAAGCATCTAACCTGTATTATGGGGCCTAGAGAGATGAGAACCAACACAGAGAGAGCTGCAGGGCTGGTGACTGGGTGCCAGCCTCGGGGTTGCCTCTTACATGCTCAACTTCATCTACCGTTAGCATGAAGTCCCCTGCCTGCCGCTATGCTCTAGCCATGTCCCACGGGACTAAAGGAGAAATCCGTTAATACCCATGATATTCGGCAGCAAAATACAGGGAGACAGATAACTAACCACACCAGGGTTGGCATCAATGCTTTCTCCCATGGAAGTGAGCCCATGGCTCCTCCCCCATCCCAGACTGGAGTGACAGAACGGCAGGCTCAGGAGGGCCCTGAGGCCCCAGTTCTTTCTCCTCTTGTTTTATTTTCTCTCACTCCTCTCTCACCCATCATTTTGTTCTGCCTTCTCCTGGGCCTCTTCCCAAAACACCAACCCATTAAGTATAAGGGCACTAGAAGAGTTTGCCAGGGTTCGAACTTTTTAGACCCACTGTGGAGAATAAATATTCATAAACGTACCTTTCAGCATATCTTAATGTTGATAAAGTTTCCTCATAGCAGATGTCAGCTGGACTTATAGCTGCTATCTGTGAAAAATATCCCTTTCAGATTTTGTTATTTATATAGGGATTTATTGTTGTTGATATTATACAGCAAACATTCACAGAACGTCCTGTAATTTACAGTATTGTTCGAACTTTACAACTCAGACAGAAAACTGAGGCTTAGAGAAAAATAATACGCCCAAGGTCACACGGATAATAACTGGCAGAGCTGGAACTTGAACCAGCCCTGACTGACGTGAACAGCTGTGCTGCTGACCCCGGTGCCACACTGCCCTCTGCCCTGAGTCCCCAGCAGATTTGCTTAGGGATTGAGATCACAGGGGAGTGTGGCCACCGCAGAGACCCATAAAACTGCTCGTTACTGCGTAGCCACTTGCGTGGTTTCAAGTCTGGCTGTTGACTTTGGATTAATTGTTCAAGAATTCAGATGAGAAAACAAGCTTTTTGATGAGCTCGAGGTGGGCAGGGTCGCTGAGGGTGAATAGGAGGGGTGACTGTCCACATGGCAGCATGTAATCCACGGACCTGGAGGCCATGGTCCAGCACATAACAGCCTGGCGAATACTGCTTCATCTTTCTTTAGCTTCGTGGCTTTTAAAGCTTGTTCATTTCTATCACCTCATTTAATTCTCACAGCAGTATTTCCCAGTGGCTATTGTCATTATCTCCACTGTAGGAAGGGAGAAAATGAGGTTTTAAGACGCTGAAACTGGGGTTGGAGCCATAGAGATTCCAGAGCTGGGATGTTGGCTTTGCGGATTCTCTTTTTCATTTGCCTCCTGAGATGATCCATGACCATCCCCCACCTCCTACCCACCACGTATTTTTTTGTTCAACATTCTAACTCCTCAGCCGGAGCCCCATCTTGCAGACCCGCAGTCGTCCTCTCAGGGGACTATGCCCACGTGGGCTCAGACCCGTCAGGTTTGATTCTGTAGTTCAGAGGGCACCTTATGGACTTCCTTGGATTCCAGGTTCTTGGGGGATGGCCCATTGAGGCCCACGGGTACTGACAACCAGCAAAACTTTAAAATGAAATATTTAAAAGTAGTTAGGCAAGATTAAATGATAAAGACTAGGGATGTGTTTTCCTGCACATTTTGGAGACAGGTGCATATAGCAGGTCCCAGCAGGGGGCGTGTCTCTCCTAACCAGGACAGCAGACCCAAGGTCAGTGCGAGGCTGGAGGCAGCATCCACCAGTTTTGCCCCTCCCTGCACACGAGGCTGAAGAGCAGAGAGCCCTGATTTTAACACATAGCACGTTATACCCACTTGGCAACACTCAACACTGAGTCTTGAAGTCTTTGCTGAGACGACACGATCCAGCCACTCTCTGGGCTACACCCCTGGCTCGTGTCTAACACGGTCAAAGTGATTTCCAGTCTTGCCATGAAATGACCACTGGTTAGAATAATATGATACGGTTAGTGTTATTTTTAAAATTGTATTAGTTTTTTCCTGATAATAAAAGTAATATATGTTGCTTGTAGAGAACCTGAAAACTACAGAAAAGAATATGAAAATTAGCAATATAGAAACTTGACTTGAACGTTGTGGTGGAAAGAGCTGCAGGAGTAATGAGACAACAGGTGAGAATGTGTGGTGTAAATGCAAAGTGCTGTATGAGTGGTATACGGAGAATAATTTCCATAGCAATAACAACAGCAATAATAACAGCTCAATCAGTCTGAAATGTTGTAAGAAAGTCACTTTACCAGAGTGGTCCTGCTGTTCCCACCCAGAGCGGACTGCAGCAGCTTGGTCAGAACAGAATCTCTGTAGGGGACGTGCAAGACTCTCTTCCCCATGGCTGCATCGGCCAGAGCACTGAACGAAAAAGGAAATACAAACTCAAAAAATGTATCCAGAAGAAACCTGCCTCCCTGGGGATAAGTCAGAACATGCTTCAAATCCTCTCTTTGACCCCATGGACCTGAGATGTGACTCTAAATAATACCCAATGGTTGAGACACCTTCTGTACACAGATGCAGAAGCAAGATGGCTACCCAGCACAGCCGCTGGCTCCCTCTCCAAGAACAACCCTGGAGAAATGATAATGAAAGAGGAGAGCCCAGATCTGAGGGACCAACACCCTAAAACCTGTGAGGAAAACCTAAAGAGCCTGCAGGCTATCGTGAATGTGTATAGAGAAGGGTTGTGATCTGAGGAAGAGAGTGACAGGCCATCAGCATAAAGACAGGTACGGGGAGTGGGTTGAAGTCCTTTTCTTGCCTTTTTCTCCTACTGCCTTAAGAAGAGCCCATGAAGTCAGGACCCCATATGACTACAGCACCAGAGTGAGAGTGAACGAGAAATAATTGTCTCAGTCCCCACCCCGTTCCAGGGGATTGCGAAGAAAGCAGAATCGGCATTGAAAAGAGAGGGGAAGAGGAAGGAAGAAATCCTACCTATGAGAAATTATAGTCACAAACAGAGAAATCTAAAAAATTAATGTAGGTGATTTGGAAAATAAACAAAATGATCGTCTAGAAAGGAGTAAGCACAATATTTGAAATTAAAGACAACATGGATAGGTTTAACAGCAAATTAGACACTGCTATCATTGGAATTAGTAAAGTATAGTTCTGAAGAAATTATCCAGGTGGCAGCCTAAAGACATAAAGATGGGAAACAAGAAAGAAAGGCTAAGAGACATGGAGGACAGAGTGAGAAGTTCCAAATAGTCTGACTGAAGTTCCAGAAGAGAAAAGAGGGGAGAAATGAGCAGATGCAATATGCGAGAGATAACGGTTGAGAATTTTCCAGAGTTGACGAAAATCACTAATTGATAGAGTTATGGAGGCAATAAATCCATGCCCAAATGCAACATAATGAAGTTGGAGAACCCCTAAAAAGAAGAGTTTAAAAGTAGCTGGGGAAAAAGACATTATCTTCAAGGGAATCTCAATTAGACCAACAAAGAAAACAGGAGAATAGCATCCCTAATGAGCTGCAAGAAAATGCCCATCTAGAACTGTACACCCAGCAAAATTATCTTTCAAGGATGAGGGGAAAGACATTTCAACCAAACAAAAACTGACAGTTCACTGTCAGTAGATGATCACTAAAGGAAATTCTAAAGAATATACTTCAACCAGAAGGAAACTGATCTTAGAGAGCAGCTCTAAGGTTTAAGAAGGGATAAATAATTTTAAAAACGGATAAATGTGGATGAATACTGTGGAAAAGAGTAATAATAATGTCTTTTGGGGTTAAAGAAGAAAAGAATTAAAATACTTATCAACAATTACAGATGCAGAATAGAGATCCTTGTATTATCCAGGAAGAGGATATAGTATTTATTATATTTAGACTTTCACCAACTGAACAGATTAAAGAGCCAAGAAACAGTTAGGCAGATATTGAATTTTGGTATGTAACAGAGGTAGTATAGAAAATCGCTGGGGAGTGTAGGGACTATTCAACAAATGTAAGTGGAAGAATTGGTACTCTATAAGGAAAAAGTAATGAAAAGGATGCCTACCTTACACTACACACAGAGTTCAACTCCAGACAGATAGGAGCTTAAGTCTAATGTTGGTAGATATCTTTGTGGCTCTAGTTTTCTTAAACAAGACACAAAAAATGCAAAACATAATTCGTAACCATAACTTCTGCTCATAAATAGGCACCCTAAAGAAAGTGATAAGCCAAGCTACCAACTGGGGGGAGATATTTATAGTACATATACTTGAAAAAGAGAAATAAAAAATATGTAAAGAATGCAAGTCAATGAAAAAGACCATAACTCAATAGACTAATTGGGAAACACCTAAGAGGAGGTATTTTGAGAGGAAACATACTGCTAATAAACATATCAAATGATGCTCCAACTTGCTAGTAACCAGGAATATCAAGACCATAATAAGATATATTTACACCCATTTAGCTGGTAAATATCAAGAAACCTGACAATACCAAGCCGTAGAAACGATGTGGATTAATGGAATTTCTTATACATTACTGCTGGGAATGTAAATTGGTCCAAACATTTTAGAAAACAATTTATCACCATCTTGAAAAATTAGGTATTTACACAACTTTATACATAACAACTTCAGTTCTTTGTCTATACTCAAAAGAAACTTTAGTATATTGATACCTAGTGATTTGTACAAGAATGTTCATAGCAGCACTGTTTGTAACAGTGAAAAACAGAAACCTGTGAACAATCAAAATGCCAAACAGGAGAATGAATGAATAAATTGTGGCATTTGCCCACAATGAAATACGACATAATAATGAAAAAGAATTAACAACTACGACTGCAACAACATGGAGGCATGTCACAGACACAACATTTAGCGAAAGAAAGTAAATGAGCTCTAGCCACATAAAACATGGGTAGATATTGTTAGTAATGTTGAGTCTAAAAGCAAATCCCAGCAATTCTACTCTTGAGTATATACTTAAGAGGAATGAGTAATGATCTTCCCCAAAGTGTGTGTGCAAGAATATTCGTAGCAACTTTATTCAGAGTAGTCAAAACCTGGAAACAAACTAAATGTCCATCAATAGGAGAATGGATAAATAAATTGTGACATGAAAAAGGGACTATTAATTGCTACATGAAACAACATGGGTTAGTCTCACAGACGCAATCCTTAGTGAATGAAGCCAGGTGCAAAAGACATTGACCTCATATAAATGATCACATTTATATGAAAATCAATACAGTTAGGCAAAACCAATCTTTGGTGACAAGATCAACTTATTTTGCTGGGAGTAAAAGCCTTGGAGGGGGTATGGGGGAGCCTTCTGGGTTTTGGAAATGTTCTATATCTTGATCTGATAGTAACTGCATAGATATATACATGTATAGAAATTCATTGAGGTGACATTTAAGATTTATGCATTTCATGTAATTTATACCTTAATAGCTTAAAAAAAGAGTAGGTCCAGAAGACAATATAATATTTTACCCTTTTTATAAACTTCAAAAATGTGTCACTAAATAATAATATTGACACGGGATAAAATAAGAAAGAATGAAAGAAAGATGGGAGGGAGGGAAGGAAAGTAGAAGGCAGGGATGGACAGAGAGAGAGGATAAACATAAAATTCAAGATGGTGGTTATCTCCAAGGGGAGCATTGGAGAGGAATACCAACTACTTCCTGGCTTGGGTGGTGGTTTTATTACTGTCTATTATTTTATTAAAAAACAATCAATTATTTTAAAATAAAACATATGGGAAGACCAGGCATGAACCAATGATGACAGTGGGTCATAAACCAAGGGTTATGATTCATCTAATTTTTGTTATCTGTGGTCATTTTACGGCACAAATAAATACTTATCAGCTGATTATTTACCTGATAACATTTCCTAAATTGGTTAAACTTAAGTTAACTCGTGATCCTTCCCTCAGTCTGTCTCCTTCGGATCCTGAAGATTTCTGCCTTTCACTTCCTGCTAAATCCACCAGATTAATACTGGATTGTTTGGTGAGCTCTCTGTCGAGGAAAACCTGTGGGAAAGCACCAGTCATGCTCTTAGAGTGGTAGCAGGCTACATATGAGGTCAATCTAGTCTACCTTTAAAATTTCTGCGGGGGGGCCAGCCCTCCCGCCGAGTGGTTGAGTTCGCGTGCTCCGCTTCGGTGGCCCAGGGTTTCGCCAGTTCGGATCCTGGGTGTGGACATGGCACCGCTCATCCGGCCATGTTGAGGCGGCGTCCCACGTGCCACAACTAGAAGGACCCACAACTAAAAATACACAACTATGTACCGGGGGGCTTTGGGGAGAAGGAAAAATAAAATCTTTAAAAAAAGAAAACAAAACAAATAGCAGGGCAAACCATTTATAAAGTTTATGAATTTCACTACCGTTGTAAAATCAAGTGAATGGCACTAAAAAGTTGACAAAGATCTTTAAAATGCGGTGTCTTATTTAAGCCTCCCAACACCCCTGTGAGTACAGCTACTCGTCTCATTTTACAGAAGAGGAAACTGAGACTCGGGAAGGGAAAGTTATTTCTCAAAGCTTCAAAGTTGGTAAACAAAGAGCCATACAAGGTCCAGTGTTTTTCCACTATTCCTGGTAAGAGCAGGACAATCTTCATTTATTACTATTTTATCTATTACTTGCTGTGGCTTAGGGACGGAGGTGGTGAGATTGTAGCTAACTGTAACATTTACCCAGGCTTTGTGAATAACCATTTCTGACTCAAACTGGGGATATTGTAGACATCACTTGCTGATACCCACCAAGGAGGATGGAGGAGAAAAGTGTGCTCTAGTTTATCAAAGATTCTAGTTAGTGGAGAGTTACATGGATGACCTGGTTTCAAAGACTTTATTTTGGTACTTTCAAATATCTGAAAGGTACTTCAGCATCTGTTGGTTCCCTAGGCTTGTGGATCTGAAAGCTGGTCATCACTCTGTTGGTGATGCACAGAAAGGCTACTGGAAGAGTTCTCCATGATGAACCATGGAGTTGCACTCAGATCTCCAGTGTGATCAGCTTGGGGTAAAAATTCATTCCTAAGAGCATGGACTTTACTTGAGGGAAAGCAGCCTTTAGTCCCATGGGCACTTCTGGGATCTGTGGACTTTGCTACAGCCCCACCATTAGTAATGGGCCCACTTATGCCATGGTGGTGCATGGACGTGGTGGGAGGTAGGAAAAGGGCAAATGCCTCTCTTTCTCCTGTTTCTGACCCTATAGTGTATGGTGGGAAGTGGCCACCCAAGTCCATAGGTCAAATCTGAAAGGATCTCGTAATACTCACCAGCCCGTTACGCTACTGGGAACCCTTCCCAAGGGCCACCCTTGGTAGGGGATCAGGACAGTGGCATTCACTAGAACCTCACCTGCTTGAACTGAATGGTAATGACCATGTGCGATCGGCTGCTGCTGGCGTTCATGTTGGTCGAAGCCGTGGTCCTTATTCTCGTTCCTTGTTCCATCAGCCTCTCGATTTGTGCATAGTTCTCACAAGGCACTGACTTCAGACCATCCACATAAAAGCCCAGCTGCTGGTCTTCTCTTACTTTTAGGCCTCCAGGTTTCTTGGTTCTAGACAGCAGATCTCTTACCTGAGGAAAAGAGAACAAATAACGGAGACTTCAGAGAGGCAGGGATTTTTGTTTACTTCGCTGGTATGTCTCTGCCTAGAATATATGAGGTGCTCAATAAATGTTTATTGGATGAATGAATAAATGTTAAATTTCCGTAGGTGCTAGACAACCTCATAATTTAGCTAAGAAAGAATCAGAGAAATGGGAGGCAAGAAAATATGAAAACCTGTTGTAATTAGTGAAATCAGAAGCACAATTTTTTTTAGAAATTCAGTGTATTGTTTTAAGTACACACCTAAAGCACTCCAACCAGACCATGAACTGCCTTAGCGTGGGACCGTGTCTTTTTACTAGTAAATCTCAGCAGAGTTCCTGACACACAGCAGGCACTCAGTGAATGCTTGTTGAGAGAATGGGGTAACGAGCCAGGCTGACAAACAGTGCTGCATACATGGCATGTAGGGTATCGAGGGAACTGCTTTTGTGGCATGAGAAAACATTTTAGGAGGTGGCTACAGTTGTCTGACTTTAAAAGGGGGCTTCTAAAGCTTTTGTGCTTGAAAACACGGTTCTCTTATTAACGTAAATATTCTCCTAGCAATCTCGTTCACTCATTTGTTAGCAACTCCTTTGTGGATAATATAAAAATAAGTCATCCTAGCCTCTTTCCGAATTATCAGAAATTTTGTATTACAAAGTAATGAAGTCCCACTTTCCTGAGAACAGGGATAAAAGAAAATAAAAATAACTAGAAGTTAGTAACATTCAAAGTATGTAATGGAAGCAGAGGACCCGTTCTGCCCAGGTTAGATGCCATCATCCTGCATCTCTACCGCCACGGGGAACGTTCAGCCCAAACACCAGTGTGCTACAGCCAAACCCAGCAAGAGAATCCGGGTAGTTCTTCGGATCTTATTATTGTTGGAGACTTGGGTGATGTCACACTCAGACAGTGGGCTCAGGGAAAAGCCCATGTCACCTCTGCCCGCAAAAAGCCGCTTCTGACAAGATGAAGTAGGGTCATGGTACGGGGGCCTGGGAGAGTCAGAGGCCCGCCAGGGGGTAGTCGGGGTTAGACGGTGTAGACAGATCTGGGCTGGGAGTCAGAAGACCTGGGTGCTTAGTCCTGGCTCCGCCTCCAAACTGGGAGAGTTTTGGAAACTCTTACATTCCCAGTTTTCTCCTCGTAATGGGAGGGGGATGGATTAAATGATCTCTAAGACCTCCCCCAGCTCGACCTTTCTATGGCTTTAAGTCCTAGAGTCAAGACAAGATCCCAAATTGAAGTCTGGGCACAATTAGGATGGTGGACAGAACGGCCAGAGACAAGGGAACATCAAAAAGAGACAACTCTGCCTTAGCTGGGAAGCCTGTTCCATAACTTCCGCTGAGTCGCATAAACTGTAGGAAGTCGAATCAGGCTGGAGATGCCGGTGAATAAAGCTCAGTAGAAAAATGTAAGTAGGTTTGTTTGGCTGGGCTGGAAGTGTAGGGGCCCAGAGACAAGGGCAGAGCCTGGACAGGGACCGTCCAGGCTGTACCTGGAGATTGAACTGATGCTTCTCACAAGACCTGCATCACTCACCTAGGCTCTGGTGAGACTCTCCCGGCTCTGCCTCTACGTGGTGCTGCTTCAAATCCAACTTCACTCTGCTGCTAGAGAAATCTTCTAAAACCCCAATCTGATGACCTTATTCCCCTATCCAAAATCCTTCCTTCATCCTCCATTGCCTACGAGACGACGGCCCTTTACTTTTTGGCAACCTATGTAGAGTTTCACCTCCTGATGCTTCCCCCTTCACCTCCCCCCATGTCCCCAACTCGCTGCACAGGGCACTCTCTGTTCCCTTAACTGCCGCGTACTTCCATAGGTCCTGGACTTGTTCATAGTAATCCTGCTGCCTAAAGTGCCCCTATTTGCACTCACCACGCTCAACTCATCCACTGCATCACCAAACTCGTAAACATCTTTCAAGGCCCATTCTAACTCCTCTGTTGACAAACAACAAACATCCCAGGCAGTATCAGTCACTCCCTCTTCTACGCCTTTCTTTTTTTTTGAAGAGGAGGAGGATCAGCCGTGAGCTAACATCTGCTGCCAATCCTCTTCTTTTTGCTAAGGAAACCTGGCCCTGAGCTAACATCCATGCCCATCTTCCTCTACTTTATATGTGGGATGCCCACCACAACCTCGCTTGCCAAGCGGTGCCGCGTCCACACCCGGGATCCGAGCCAGCGAATCCCAGGCCGCCAAAGCAGAACGTAGGAACTTAACGGCTCCGCCACCAGGTCGGCCCCGCCTCTTCTACACCTTTCTTTTCACCACTCGTGCAGCGCATACAGTATTTCATTAAAGTTTGGAGCAGGTGTTTTATCTTCCACCAAACTTCTCCCTGGCAGGAATCGCGTCTTAGGTTTTATTCATCCTCAGAATCTGGTATGATGTCTGAAATATTAACTATATCTAACACACTTCACTTTAATTGACTGTTGAAGTACCTGATGGAAAAACACCAGCGACTCATAGAATACAAGACGTGAAAAGGTTCTTAGGATGTCCCGTGTTCTTATTTTAGAGATGAGAAAACAGAATTCCAGAGAGAGCATCGTGGTAAACAGGTATCAGTAGGGAGACCACAGCGAGACCCCGCTCCTCGCAGTCTTCCCCACAAGAACCCGGTCATAAAGGAAGTAAAGTTTCCTCCTCAAGTTATTGGTGTGAAAAAGGAGCCGTACTGTCTTCCAAGCTCACAGACTTGAAAGAAATCAAAACTTAATCAGTGACTTTAACATAATAACCCGTTTGAATTTACTGTTAACTTTCAGTGGTAATAAATGACTCAGGGAAACATACAAGAAACACATGGATATTCTCTCTCCTTAATATAAAGAGAAAATCACTGACAGATTTATTGCCTTAATAATATGTATTTAGTGACGATTAAGTGCAAGGCTGTAGATACTGCTTGGAGTTACACAAAAACTATTAGGATGTGGTCTCTGCCCAAGAGAAACTTACAATTACAGATGCCTTTGTCGACCTATCCCGTCAGCAAACACTAGGGAGTGCCCTTTCTAAACCAAATCCTGCTCTAAGTGCAACAAATCGTGCTTTCAGGACTCACAAGGAAACCATTACCTGTTTTGAGGACACAAATATGTAAATAAAATTTTACAGTATAATAAATGCAAAAAGGAAAGGGCAGAATGAAAGAACATTTGCTGACTATCCAGTATTTTCCAGGCCCTGCATTAGAAATTCAGAATTTAGTGTATCTTAGTGTGTTTCCTTTATGTCTTATTTTAAATTCTCTTTCATAAATGAGCAGACCGAGCTCTTAGAGTGATTTGCCAAAGCCACACAGCTAGTAAATGAGAGAACTGGGGTTTGAAACCACGTTCTTTCTATTTCTAGGAGTAGGCAAACTATAGCCTTGGGCCCAATTCAGCCCGCCACCTGTATTTGTATGATCCTTGAGGTAAGAAGGTTTTTCACATTTTGAAATGACTGAAAAAAGTCAAAAGAGAACTATTTCCTGACAGGTGAAAATTATGTGACATTCAAGCTTGAGTGAAGTCCTTTAAGTCCTGTTCTATGGCACACAGCCCGCTCACCCTCACGGCGTCTGTGGCTGCTTCTGTGCTGCCGTGGCAGAGGTGAGGGGATGCAACAGAGATGCTATGGCCCTCGAAGCCTAAAATATTCACTTTGTGGCCCTTTGAAGAAAAACCTTTTTACAACACTGTGCTGACTGGAGCCACCTGCCTCAGGACGTGTAGAGGAGCTGATATTTGAACTGGATTTGGAAATTTAGTGGTTTCTTTAAGGGCAGACATGTTTGGGCAAGGAAGGTTCGTTCTATGTGGCTGAAGCATAGATGTGTGAAGATAAAGGAACACAAAATGAAGCTGGACCTAAAATGAGGTTGGTTAGGGCTGGACAGTCAAGGCCAGGCTGGAGTTGTGACGTCGTCTCTGGGATGGGTGAAGGGGAGCCCCTGATGCTTATTAAGCTGCTGAGCGTCACTCAGATTTGTGTGTCAGAAAATAGAATCACTCTTACCTGTTCATTGTAAATTTCCAGCATACTGAATGTAACCTGCGCAGAAAAGAACATAAAGTAAATTAGATTCTCTTGAAACAGTTATCTTTGAAAAAATTTAATATGAAAACAACATAATGTCCAACAAAGGAAAGCTAATATTAAGTATAGTAAAGCTCTATTTTACATGCAATATGAGATTCTCAAATAATCATTTTAATGATATGAAGTTTTCAATATAAATTAAAAACAGATACAAGACTGTGTGTTTGTGTTTCAGTCTCAACTGGGAACAGAAAAAGGTGTTCTTCATTATTCACTCTCCAACTTTAGCCTCCTGTGCTTTTGGAACACTGCTAGCCAAGTGTGCACCTCTTAAACAGGAGAGTGGAGGAATCTGAACGACTCTAGTCTAGAGAAAAGGCCCTAAGAGACCAACATTTTCCGCCATCATCCCACACCTCTGAAAAAGCTGGCTTGTCTGTTAGTCACCCTGTGTGTCTTGACAGTCAAACCTCACGTACCCAGAGCTTCCAGCTAGCTTCAGAGTGTCTCATGATTTAAAATAAACAAATGGCCAAAGATGAGCAGACGAGGAAAGTCTCCAATTTGAAAGAGAGATCAAAACAAACAAGAGAAAAAAGGAACTCAGAGAAAACAGACAATGCAGAGAGTACAAGAAAACATTTTTCAAAGCCCTATTAATAATAGCTTCAGAGAGATAAAGAATTATATCCATGACAAAACAGGATGCTATTAAAAAGGAACAACCAGAGAATAAGAGTGTTTGTAAATTAAACAAATAAAAGATAGCCAGAAGAAAATTGTAGTAGAAGGGCTATGAAATATAGTTGAGGGAATCTTCTAGAATGCAGAAAAAAAGACCAACAAATGGAAAACAGGAAGTAAGAGAATAAAATCAGAACATTAGTACAAGAGGTCCCAAATCCAATGAATAAGAGTTCCAGACATGGAAAACAGAAGAAACAGAGGGAAGAACGTTGTAAAAGAAACAGTGATAGAAAAACTTCCCGGAATTGAAGGGCAGCAATCTCCAGATTGAAAAGGATCCACTGAGTGTCCAGCATGATGAGTGAAAAAAGGCTCACACTCAGGCACATCAGAACATCGAGCATAAAGAGAAGATCCTAAAAGCTGAGAGAGAAGTTGGCAATCCAAAAGGTCACATACAAAGAACTGGGAATCAGAATCTCACCAGACTTCTCAGCTGCAACACTGGAAGTTAAAAGATGATGGAGTGATGTCCTCAATATTCTCAGAGATCTGAATTCTATTCCAGACAAACTGCAGTCAAGTGTGGAGGTAAGAAAAGATATTTTCAGCTATGCGAGGATGCAAACAATGTACCCTTGATGCACATTTTTCTAAAGAAGTTGCATCAAAAGGAGAGGGTAAACCAAGACAGGGAATATATTGGATCTGGTTGTCTGAGGCACTAACAAAGAAGAATGTTGAAATAAGGTTCCAGAATGACAGTTTCGCAGTAGCCTTGGAGAAACACTGCTCCAAACTGTGGCAGGAGAATAAAAGACTCTTGCTGATTGAGACACCCCCATCCCCCCCAAAAATAATGGAACTCATAAGTTGAGTGTATGGAAAATATTTTTAATAGGCAGGTGACAGTGGTTTGGAGCATTCAGAAAAACAGAGAGAGAGATTTGTAGAAACTAGACATACACACAAGAGGCAGTTCAGAACTCGAAGAAAAAGTGTAGAAAGGATGTATGTATTACTTGGCTCAGCAGTGAACAATATTTGCACAACTGAAATGCTAAACACTACTGATTTAACCAAACTTACTAACAATGCAGGGGGTGTGTGGGAAAAAGTATCGTGGTGGGGGTGTTAGCACGACAGAGTGAAATTCTCTTCTGCCATGGTGGGAAGAGAGTAGGTATGTCTAAAAATATTTCTCTAAAAAAAGATAACCAAAATTATTTTAAAATATGGAGATAGAGACTAGGGCCAACAGCTAAAGAGTTGAAGAAGGTGACCTGTGGGGTGGCATGGGAAGGGGAGGAGGGACAGGCAGGAGACCGGTGGTTTCCATTATAAGCCTCTCAGCACCATTTTTTAAAGAGCTCTGTTGAGAGATGACAGACATATCACACAGTTCACCCATTTAAAGCGTGCAATCCAATGGTCTTCAGTATATTCACAGAGCTGTGCAACCATCACCACAACTACATTTAGAGCACTTGGTCTCCCCATAAAAGACACCCATTAGCAGTCACTTCCCATTCTCTACCTTCTCCCCTCCTCTGCCCCCCGTGCCAGCCCTAGGCCATCACTAATGTACTTTCTGTCTCTGTAGATTTCCCATTCTGGCCATTTCATATAAATGGAATCAAATAATATGTGATCTTTTGTGTCTGGCTTCTTTCACTTTGCACAATGTTTTCAAGGTCCATCCATGTTGTAGCATGCATCAGATGCTATGTTCCTTTTTTCTGATGAGTAATATTCCACTGGATGGACATACCACATTGTATTCATCCATTCATCAGTTGATGGACATTCAGGTTGATCCTACTTTTTGGCCACTGTGAATATGTTGCTGTGGAATATTCCTGGATAAGTTTTCATGTGGATATAGGCTTTTCTTTCTCTGGCTTTTATCGTTTTTAAACGATACTTGTATTACTTTGATAAACTTTTAATTAAAATATTAGAAAGAAATATACTGAAATGTTAATAGTATTTAGTTGGGTGATTATGAGTAATTTCTGTTCTCTAACTTGAATGCATTATTTTTAAAATCAGAAAAAAGATAAAAAAGATGATGCAATGTTGACTTTTCATAACACAAATTTAAACTCTTCTGCCATTTAGAGGAAGCAGAAACAAACTATGCTTACAGGTATTTATTCACATTTCGTCATTTTTTTTTTTAAGATTTTTAAATTCTTCCTTCTTCTTCCCAAAGCCCCCCAGTACATAGTTGCATATTTTAGTTGTGGGTCCTTTAGTTGTGGGCCACCAAAGCAGAGAGTGTGAACCCCACCACTCGGCTGTGGGGCCAGCCCCCTTTACTGTCATGTTTTAAAGCTAATTACATTAATGTTTACTCACCATCTTGAAAATGTCACCAACCTTCAATGAATCTAAAATTCAGTCTTGGGCTTTCTATGCTGGGGCAAGTGAGAAGCTATACTGGGACACTTAAGAAACAAAATAACATTCTTTATTTAGGAAAAAATCAGTAAATTAAGATGGGAACACACCCACAACCTTGGTAGAAGAGGGAAGCAAAGGAAACGTAGACGTGAGTCAGCCAGGGTTTTGTGTTACAAGCCTCAATAAGAATCCCCTGTTAGTATTAGGATTGAAGATGTCTGCTTCTACGATACTCAAAATGCCTTCAAGAATATTTCCCTGGGTATGTCTCCGTAGAACTGGAAAAATTCAACGTTTTATTTAGCTGTGACTCGATTTTGTAAACGTGTAAAGATTTAGGTATGGAAAATTAGCATTATCCTAAAACAGAGATGCCTATAACTTCCATTTGGGGTGGGGGAGTTCCAAAATGAAAAAAATTCTTTAAGAAAGGGATCCTAGAATAATACATACCTGGTATTCTTGGTTTCTCTCTCGGTTCTCAATTGCATGAAAGAGCTCTTCACACACACTCGGAATGAGACCCTTGTTTGCACCAAACCCAATCATGGAATAGCTCTTTCCAGAGCCGGTCTGGCCATAGGCCAGGAGGGTAGCATTATAGCCTTGCCAAGCACTGTCCAGAATTCCCCCACCAAGATCACGGAAGACATCTCTCTGGAAAGAAGATGGCAGGCATCGTGTTCAGCTCAGGCTTTTCATAATACGCTTAAAATCTAATATTCTGGTTTAATGAATTCCACCTTCATTAGTATCATAGGACTGACTTGAAGTATAACTCAGATGCTGCCTTAGAACCAATGGAATAAAGCTGGAAACCAAAAAGAGATTTATCAATTTGGAAAACACTGATAATGGTGGATGACCATGGATCTTCCACTAGGTAGCAGCCATCAACAATGAATTTGCGTAATTTACAGACTTGCCCAAGCCTAGGCTAAAGTCTTTAAAATTCAGCAATTATGGTGCTGGCCCCGTGGCCAAGTGGTTAAGTTCACGCTCTCTGCTCCGGCAGCCCAGGATTTCGCCAGTTCGAAGCCTGGGATGCGGACATGGCACCACTCATCAAACCATGCTGAGGCGGCATCCCATATGCCACAACTAGAAGGACACACAACTGAAAAATACACAACTATGTACTGGGGAGCTTTGGGAGAAAAAGTAAAAAATAAAATCTTAAAAAAAAATTAAAAATAAATAAATAAAATTCAGCAATTGGACAAAAATTTCAAGGCATCAAGGGGCAGAAACAAGTCAGAGCGTTTTCTCCTTTTTCTTTACCCTTTAATCCAAACAGTAACAACACAAAATTCCCATGGTACTTTTAGCCCTGTGCTGTTGAACTCTTCTTTTTTCACAAGACCCAGCATTTCTGAAGCATTTCTCCAACACACACATATGCACATGCACACTTTCTTTTTAAGTGGGAGACACAGGCGATTGTGCCCACAATTGCTTGAAGGAGAGGGTGTGAGCTGGCTCTCTTGCTATCAGGGCCATGGCCATAGCCAGCAATAATTCTCTTATTTGAGGCTGTTAAAGACTTTCTTCTCTACTCTCTAATAGCAATAAAACAGTAGTAAGCGTTACTCATTTGTTACAATATGTACATTTGTGTGATTTATATAATTTTTTATTTCTGAGAAAGATACAGATACCAACTTAGTGTGATTTATATAAGGACAGTAGATGCAACAAATTTTCTTAAATATTCATTTCTTAGGAGAAAGGAATAAAAATTATTATATTACAAGTGTTAGGGGAGCTCCAGGCCTAAAACGTGGAATTTAACCAGTGGTTTCCCAGAACATTGTGGTCATACTTCTACCAGAAAAATGTATTTATATGACGACTATCTACGCTGCCTTAGGAGCTATTAGCTTAGTACAGTAACTAGTTTTGCTGTCTTTTCTTCTCTGTGCTAGCTAGAAATTTGGGGAAATATTTTTATTGTCAATTTTTATGGATTGAAAACTTCAAACAAGTAATACAGAACTTCATGAAATAAAATCCTGGAGAATAGAATCATTCTATAAATTTTGTTAGCTGTACAGTTTTTCTGTAGTTTTCCATCGAAATGTCTTTGAGGATCAATTATCTGTATATCAGATAAGCCAAGACATCATAGAACTACATTTCTAATTTCTTCCTACTCACCATCCTATAATCAACTATGTGAAATGTGTCCCTACACTACAGTGTGTGAATTCCGCAGTATCTTAATAGGCGGTTAGCAAAAAATAGATGGTTATCGTCATTTGGGGATGAGAGGAAAAGCTGTTGACAAAGATAATCAGATTTCTTTACAGCGTAATTCTTGCATTCTTTTAAAACTATCTTTTTATAAACTGAGATAGAATTGACATATAACATTGTACTAATTTTTTTTAATTCATAATTTTTTTCCTTCTTCTCCCCAAGGCCCCCAGTACATAGTTGAATATTCTGGTTGTGAGTGCCTCTCGTTGTGACATGTGGGACGCCGCCTCAGCATGGCCTGATGAGTGGTGCTAGGTCTGCGCCCAGGATCCAAACCAGGGAAACCCCAGGCCACCAAAGCAGAGTACGTGCACAAACTTAACAACTTGGCCATGGGGCCAGCACCACGTTGTATTAATTTTAAGCGTACAACATAATGATTTGATATATGTGTATTTTTGCAAATGATCACCACAATAAGTTTAATTAATATCCATCACCTCATATAATTACAAATTATTTTTTCTTGTGATGAGAACTTTTAAGATCTACTTTCTTAGCAACTTTCACAGTATACTGTACAGTATGATTGACTATGGTCACCATGCTGTACATTGCATCCCCAGGACTGATTTATTTTATAGCTAGAAGTTTGGACCTTTTGACTCTCTTCACCCATTTCACCCACTCCCCACTCCCCGCTCTGGCAACAGCCAATTTGTTCTTTGTATCTAGGCTCTCCTTTCTTTTTAAACTTAAGTATAGGCGTCAGACAATATTATATTAGTTTCAAGTGTAGAATCTCCTTTTTTTGTTTTTCGCTTTTAGATTCCATATATAAATGAGATCATACAGTATTTATCTGTCTATTTGACTAATTTCACTAAGCATAATGCCCTCAAGGTCCATCCATGTTGTCGCGAGTGGCAAGATTTTCTTCTTTTTTATGGCTGAATAATATTTCATTGTACATATATATATATACACTACATTTTCTTTATCTATTCATCCATCGATGGACGCTTAGGTTGTTTCCATGTCTTGGCTATTGTAAATAATGCTGCAGTGAACATGGGGGTGCAGATACCTTTTCAAGATAGTGATTTGGTTTTCTTCAGAAAAACACCTAGAAGTCGGATTGCTGGATCATATGGTAGTTTTATTTATTTATTTTTAATTTTTTCCTTCTTCTCCCCAAAGCCCCCCAGTACATAGTTGTATATTTTAGTTGTGGGTCCTTCTAATTGTGGCATGTGGGACGCCACCTCAGCATGGCCTGATGAGCGGTGCATAGGTCTGCAGCCGGGATCTGAACCAGCCAACCCCCGGGCCGCCAAAACAGAGCATGCAAGCTTAACCACTCGGCCACAAGGCTGGCCCCCTATTTTCAATTTTTTGAGGACCCTCCATACTGTTTTCCATAGTGGCTGCACCAATGCACTTTCCCACTAACAGTGCAGAAGGGCTCCACATCCTCTCCAACACTTCTCTTGTCTTTTTGGTAACAGCCATGCTAACAGGTGTGAGGAGACAGCTCATTGTGGTTTTGATTTGCATTTCCCTGATGATTAGTGACTTTGAGCGCCTTTTTATGTACCTGTTGGCTATTTGTATGCCTTTTTTGGAAAAATGTCTACTTAGTCCCTCCGCCTATTTTTTAATCAGATTGTTTGGTATTTTTCTATTGAGTTGAATGAGTTCTTTATATATTTTGGATACTAACCCCTTATCAGGTATATGATTTGCAAATATTTTCTCCCATTCCATGTGTTGTTGATGGTTTCGTTTATGTACAGAAGTTTTTTGGTTTGATGTAGTCCCATTGGTTTATTTTTGCTTTTGGTGTCAAATCCAAAAAAATCATTGCCAAGACTGTTGTCTAAGAGTTTGTCACCTATGTTTTTTTCTGGGAGTTTTATGGTTTCAGGTTGGACGGTCAAGTCTTTAATCCATTTTGAGTTAATTTTTGTGAGTGGTGTAAGGAAGGGTCCAGTTTCATTGTTTTGCCTGCGGCTGTCTGGTTTTCCCAACACCATTTATTGAAAAGACTATCTTTTCCTCCTTGCATATATTTGGTCGCTTTGTTGTAAATTAATTGACCATATATACGTGGGTTTATTTCTCAGTTCTTCAGTCTGTTCCATTGATTGATGTGTCCACTTTTATGCCAATACTATGATGCTGTTTTGATTACTATAGCTTTGTAATATTGTTGGAAATCAGAAAGTGTGGCGCCTCCAGCTTTGTTCTTCTTTCTCAAGATTTCTTCAGCTATTTGGTGTCTTTTGTGGCCCCATACAAATTTTAGGATTTTTTGTTCTATTTCTGTGGAAAAATACCATTGGAATTTTGATAGGTACTGCATTGAATCTGTTGATTGCTTTGGGTGTTATGGACATTTTAACAATATTACTTCTTCCAAGCCATGAGCGCAGAATATCTTTCCATTTATTTGTGTTATCTTCAATTTTCTTCATCAATGTCATAGTTTTCAGTGTAGAGATCTTTCACCTCCTTGCTTAAATTTATTCCTTGGTATTTTATTCTTTTTGAAAAAAACTATCTTTATTGAAGTACAATTAATATTCATTAAATTCATTCATTTAAAGTATACAGTTTCATGAGTTTTGACATATGTGTTCGGCCATGTGATGACCACTACAATTAAGACTTTTTTTAATTTTTAATCATTTCGAGAAGTTCCTTTGTGCCACTTTGCACTCAGGCCCCTCCTCCATCTTTAGCCCCTGGCCATTAATGATTTACTTCCTGCAACTGTAGTTCCGTTTTTTCTAGAATTGCCATTTAACTGGAATTGTACAGTGTGTAGCCTTTTGTATATGATTCCTTTCACTTAGTACAATGCTTTGAGATTCATCTATGTTGCTGCATGTAATCATGAGTTCCTTTTACTGATGAATTATGTTCTATTTTATAAATATATCACAATTTTATTAACCATTCACAAGTTGATGGACATTTGAGTTTCTAGTTTGGGACTCTTACATATAAAGTTGCCATAGACATTTGCATACAGGTGTTTGTGAGGACGTATTTTTATTTCTCTTGGAATTGCTAGATTGTATGGTTAAGTATATGCTTAAATTTTAAAGAAACTGCCTGGTTTCTAAAATAACTGAAACTTTTTACATTGCCATAAGCCCTATATTCCAGTTGTTCCACATGCATATTGTGAGGGACTGGCATTGGCCACCCCAAGATATGTCTCTTTGGCATGAGGATTATTTGGGGCTGGTTACTTTTAATAAACTCGGACAGGGAAGGAGGCTCTGAGGAGTGGAACTTGCTTACCCTTTGTTAAGAAACATTTACATTGTAAGGGAAATCTCCATCTGTAAAGTTGTCTCCCTCTCTACCAGGAACAAGGGGGATGACCTTATCTCTAGAAACTCCTGTCAATACAGAATGCAAGGACTTAAATCTGCATAATAATCTTA